CTGTCCACCACATCCTTCTTGTTCTTTCTCCTCGTTTTTCTTTTTTTTTTTTTAAATTTTTTTTTAATGTTTTTTATTTATTTCTAGGAGAGAGAGACAGTGTGAACAGGGGAGGGTCAGAGAGAGAGGGAGTCACAGACTGAAACAGGCTCCAGGCCCTGAGCTGGCAGTCAGCACAGAGCCCGACGCGGGGCTCGAACCCACGAACTGTGAGATCATGACCCAAGCGAAAGTCGGACGCTTAACCGACTAAGCCACCCAGGCGCCCCTTTTTTTTCTTTTATTACCCTCCTCCTCATTTCCCATCCTAGTCTAGACTCAGAGTTAGGGCTTTGCCAGTTAGTAAGAGCTTTACAATAATGATGCCAATAAGTAATATCATTTTGTTCCAGGCAAAAAGCTAGTTTCCTTTTTAACTTCCTATTCAAGTATAACATACATACAGAAAACTCATAAGTGTAGAGCTCCATGAATTTTTTGGAGAATGAACATAGCATGTAACCATCATGCAGACCAAACAGCAGAATGTTAGCAGCACCCCAGAGCCCTTCTCAGTCTCCCTTCCAGTCCCTAACACCCTCAAAGGTGACTCTCTAACAGCAAAGATGACTTTTCCCCCTTGTTTTTGTACGTTTTATAAATGGAATCCCATGGCCTGTATCATTTTGTGTCTGGTCTTTTTTTAAAAAAATTTTTGTTTTAATGTTTATTTATTTTTGAGACAGAGAGAGACAGAGCATAAATGGGGGAGGGCAGAGACAGAGAAGGAGACACAGAATCTGAAACAGGCCTCAGGCTCTGAGCTATCAGCACAGAGCCTGACGTGGGGTTCGAACCCACCAACCTTGAGATCATGACCTGAGCCGAAGTGGGACACTTAACCAACCGAGCCACCCAGGTGCCCCGTGTCTGGTCTTCTTGACTCAACACAGTATTGTGGCATGTGGTTCTAGGTTGTTCACTTCTCATTGCTGAATAGGATCCCAATGTGTGGATATACCACAATTTACTTATTCAGTCTACTGTTGATGGGCATGTAGGCAGTTTCCAGTTTGGAGGTGTGACAAATAGTGGTGCTATGAGTGGCTTAGTATGGGTCTTTAATGAACACACATACACAGCACTTCTGTAGGATATATACCAGGGGCTAGATTGCTGGTTCATAGGGCACACATATTTTGGTGAGCTATGTTTACGTATATAATTCTCCCCTCTCCTCTAGAAGGAAGGCATCTTCAGCCCCTTTATGCACAGCAGCATGTGACAGACCCACACTTCCTGCTGAGCTACTGGAAGATCAAACAGGAGGAAAGGCCAACTGGCAGCGTGGAGAAAGTGGAGGTCTGGCTCCAGTGCATTTTCACTATTGACAACCCTCTTTATTACTTTTTCTTAAGAGACCCATTGTTTTTGGAAGATTTCTGTCTACCAAGCTATTAAGCAAATGTTGGCTCAGTATCATTTAATTCATCTTCCAGTTCTCTTATTAGTCAAGGACATATCTAACCAGCTACTGAGATGCTGGTCCAACAACCTGCCTAACAGAACGGATGTAATTTCAGATAAAGCCAAAGAAAGTCCAGGTTTGGGTTCACCTCTGTAGTCTCCTTACAAGAACGCAGGGTTTCTACCGGACTATTGTTAACACTGACAACCTGCTGCCCTTCCCCTTTGTGATGTTAATGGAAATTTAGGTGAGGGAGATCCCCACCCTCCCACTAAGAAAATCTCAGACCCTGACCATGTCTGAAATACTGATTTATGACCAATAAATATACATTAACATACAAGTAATTCACAAGCTGAAATAGGTTGTATGAAGGTAGGAAGGAACCTTTTCCAAACTGCCACCAAGTGGCCAGAAGGACTTCAGGCTATTGCTAACATTTGGGTATACTTGATTCTTTCTCATTTGTCTCTCTGTTTTCTGTTCTTCTCCATCTGTCTTTATTTTTTTAATTTTAAACTTATTTAAAAAATTTTTAATGTTTATTTATTTCCGAGAGTCAGAGTGTGAGTGGGGGAGGGGCAGAGAGAGAGGGAGGCACAGAATCTGAAGCAGGCTCCAGGCTCTGAGCTATCAGCACAGAGCCCGATGTGGCACCCAAACCCATGAACCACAATATCATGACCTGAGCCAAAGTCAGATGCTTAACCAACTGAGCCACCCAGGCGCCCCTCCATCTCTGTCTTTCTATCTGTCAGTCTCTCTGTGTCTCTGTCTGTATATGTATGATATCTATGTCATACATACATCTCTTATACATACATATAGATGTATACATACACATACATCTGTATTAGGGATACCATCACATGCAATTACTTTGATTCTTTTAACTAATTCTCTATTTTGGGACATATAAGCTATTCCTGATATTTTGCCATTGCAAGTAACACTGCATGAATGTGCTTATATCTAAATCCTCAGGGACATCTCTGATATCTTCCTTAGGCTGGGTGACAAGAGGTTGAATAACCCACCAAATGGGTTAACTTTCAGATGTTGGGTTTTGAGTCTAATTATCAAATACAAATTTATGCTGCTGCCAACAATATATGAGAGTGTCGTCTTCTCTGCCCACACTGGTAATTTTCTATTACAATAATTTTTCTCAGTTTTATAGGTAAAACATGACAGTTTAGTTTTAATTGCATTTCATTGATTCCTGGTTAGGTTAAATATGTCTCAGATTTGCTGTCCATTTGAGTTTCTTCTCACTTGCATTTCATGTTCCTTTTTATTTCATGTTACCCAACCCCCATAGAATGCTGCCCAGTGCTCTGGCAATTCTCATCTCTGCTTTTACCATGGAAGTAAGTAATATCTGCATCCCGCAGAAAACCCAGCATTGTCAAATGCTTTGCAGACAGAACATGTGTGAGAAAAATGCACATTCACAAGGCCCGCAGGTGGCTTGGCCAGCCACATCTGTCATCTCTCCGCCAAGGACGCCCAAATTCCTCCCAGAGCTATAAACCTCACTTCTCACCCGGACTCCGGACACCATCACCGAGGGGCCATGAGAGCAGGAGGGGCTGTCCACATTACCTAATGACTTAACCAGGTGAAGTTCATGTGCACTTTGGGTTTTTACACGATTGTGCCTCAGAGGAAGTGTTCCCTACTGCTCTGGGGAAATGGGCAATTGTAAATCAGGTAACAATATGGCACTGACTTATTTATCCTTGTAAGAGTTTTACGTTCTGAAGTCAACAAGGGACCCATCTCCCGATCCATGGCCAATTTGCAGTCATCACTTAGGGGAAGCTCAATCTCCCTTGCTCTGTTGGAGGGCATGCTGGGGCTTGTAGGAGCCAAGCTTCCCCATAGTGCTGAGCCTGAGTCCAATCAATCGATCCTGTATCTTGGTCTGGGCCAAATGTTCTCTTCCACAGACACAAGGCAGAGACAGAAAGTCACCAAATGGTAGGAAACTTTTCCTCTCAATGCTATGACTGCTCTCTCTTCTTTCCATTTGTCCCCTGAGTTCCTTCTTGAGGGAATGTTTGCCTGGACAGCAGCTGCACCCTGAGAGATATGATGGTGACTCATTCAAGTAGAAGTAGGCATGGTGAAAGAATATGTGCTAATTAGGAATCCAGGCCAAAGGTGAACCCAAAGTCCCATAATAAATTATGGTATAGCCTTAAAAGAGAATATTAGGCAGCAATTAAAAATAGTGTTTTCAAGGAATTTTTATGGCTGAAAAATGCTCATGATGTGAATTAAAAAGAAATAAAGATGGGCATCTGGGCGGCTCAGTCAGTTAAGCGTCCAACTCTTGATTTCAGCTCAGGTCGTGATCTTGTGGTTTGTGGGTTCGAGCCCCACATCCAGCTCTACACTAACAGCACACAGCCTGCTTGGGCTTCTCTGTCTCCCTCTCTCTGCCCTTCCCCTGCTTGCTATCTCTCTATCTAAAAGATAAATAGACATGAAAACATTTTTAAGGAAATAAAGATATAAAATCCATGTATAGAATATAGAATATGATCCCTATTATCTAAAAGACTATCTGGAAATACTGGAAATGGTAATGGTGATTTTCTCTGCAGGTAAGATTAATTTTGAGTTTTATGTTCTTATTGTATTATTGAAATTTCCTACATTCCTACAAGCTTTTGTGACTTCTGTTCACCATAAAATAATAAATAAAAAACCAAACCAAACCCCAATCATTGATACTTTGAAACACCAAGTGGGGTGTGATGTGCCCCAGGCCCAGGTTCCTATTTGTTATCCAGTCCTGCTCTCTTTAGGGAACGGGGAGTGCTGCGACCAGGGAGATGTGAACAAGGCCACTGACTTGGCAGAGAAGGAAGACACGGCTCCCCAGAGATTTCGGCCAGCACTTGCCCTCAGCCCCTCACGTTTCTTCTTCCTCACCTTCCTTTTCTGCCTCCCTCCCATGCTTCCATTTCTTCCAACTGTTTTCCCCTGGGAAAAGACTTTTTTTGGGGGACCCTGGGATGAATCACATGGGGTTGAGGGTGAGAAACATAAATCTCAGAACCCAGACCAGAACCAAACTTTCAACAAGCTCAGAACTTCAGCTGTGTCAATGCAGACCAGGGCGCCTCGGTTGGGCAGCCGTTCTTATGGGAAAAGCTCAGGGGGACCCGAAGATCACTCTGCTCAGCCCTGGTCACACTGCTTCAGCAGGCTGCTTTCAGTTCTAGGTGCTCAGTTAAAGAAAGAATATTGAAAAGAGCACCTCCCACAGAACACAAAAATGACAATAGTATCTTCACCGACAATGCTAGCAGCCGGCCCACGTCCATGCACTGAATGTTTATGGTGTGTGTCAGATACCCGACTAAAGTATGACCTATTGCCCTATTTGATTTTTAAAGCAAATCCTTTACAGATGAAAAATCTGAGTTGAGTGAGATTAAATAATGAGGTGGCTATGTCTATGTCTATATCATCTCTATATCTGCATCTACTAAAACATACAAAATATATAGTAATATATAGAAAAACGCAAACTATTTATATAAAACATTGTTTTAATAACACAGAACTAGCTCATTCATAAAGACATGGGCACCAGGTTAACAAGTATCAAAAGTAACCTGTAAGTTTCTCCTAAAATAGTGCCTTGAGCAGGAGGGCTTGTCTGCCTCCAGCCGTATGCTGGGAAGCTGACCCAATAGGGACTTAAAATCTCAAGGGTGGATTCTTTTTCCTGGGTCAGAGTTGGTTCAAGGTCACATGCTCTTGAGGTCTCTGAAGACAACATGCGCTGCATTGCGTCCCGCGGCTCCCATGACGCCTCCTCCTGGAAGGGAGTCCCCCATGAACCTATGTGGTGCTCACGACCGTCCCCAGGTAGTGGATGGGGCCCGGGGCTTGGGGAAGCCATAAAGGAAGCAGAGCATCGGCGCCTGCAGGGCGGTGCTGGGGACGTGGCCATCAGAACTGGGACGACTATTAAGACAGATTCTGGGCTCGCCTCCAGGCTTCCTGCATCAGAGCTCTGGGCAGGGGGCCCGGCACACAGTCCAAGCACCTGCCCCCCTCAGCCTGAAAGTCGATGTGCTGAATGGAGACCCTCAGCATGTGAAACCAAAGCGCTGGACTAAGGGTTCGAGGGGCAAGTGGCGGAAGCACAGAGCTCCCTGGGGCATGTCCATAGGGGAAGGCAGCCCTGGCAAGGTCAGCGGGGCTTGGAATAGATGCAGGGAAGAATTTTTAAATTGAGAAATGTAATGTTACCAGTCCTTACTGGTCTGACATCTGGAGGGGGAATTCAGGGACATGGGTCTTTCATAGCCAAAGCTGGCATTTGGAGAGCTGCCTCTGGGACATATTCTCAAACCTTGTGGGGAGGAGGTGGGAGCTACCCTGAGGCTGTGACCAGCTGTCAGAGGCCCCCTTCCTCCCCTGCCTGTTTCCTATGCGCTGAGAATCCCCAATATGGGGGATGGTCTGTTCTCATGGGAGTTCCTTGCTCCTCTCCGTCTCTCCCTGCCTCCCTTGTCCGTCCCCCTTTCAGCAAGCTTCTGCCGTCCAGCCAGCCCCCACAGCCCACACAGGGAAGGGGACCCACGTCACTCACCGGGGTGGGCACCGCTCCCACAGAGATACAGGCCCCGCAGAGGACAGCGGTAGCTGGAGTGCAGGGGTGCAGGGCGGGCGAAGTAGAGCTGGTCCAGGGTCATGGCACAGTGGAATATGTTCTGCAGGAGGGAGGGCCACAGTTGTTAACATACGAGTGTTATGGTCTTCACAGCCTTTGCAGGTTTCTTCCCCTCCCCTTCTCCAAGGAAGGTTCTTTTCCTTCCAGCATGTTTTCTTGGATTCTTATGAGGTATAAAGGGGAGGGAAGAGAGAGGACAGTTGCGGTCCTCAGGCTGGAGATGGAGTTTCCCAGAGGGATTTATCAGGAGGAAAGAAAGGTGAGGAGCACCTTCAGAGTGTGAGGGGGAAGGAGGAGGGAGATGTTATGTGTCTTGCCGAGGTCTACAAATCCTCCTCATTCCATTTGAGAAATGGAGGATTTGACTTATTTTGGCAGCCGGCTCATGTTTCCTTGGCCAAGACACCCACCTGAGCCTGGGCCCTAGGGGTCCAAGCTCCATCAGAGTCACAGTAAATGGCAGACAAGGGACAGGGGACTCAAGCTTAATTCTGCTCTCCTGGCTGGGGTCCGAGCAGCTGGGAAGCTGTAGGGGTGGGGGGAGGAGGGGGCAGGTCTGGACAAGAAGATCGACAACTGCTGGACCCTGTCAGCGTGTCCCAAGCTGGGCTCATCCTCCGCCACCTACCAAGTCTCCACTCTCCCACATTCCCTGCCTCAGTGGGCGACATCACCTTCCCTGCCTGGGCCTCCAGGTGGACCCTCCACGTCACCTCTGCCCTGAACACATTATACGGAGAATTCTTAGTTCAGCCTGCCCTGTGCCTCCCGCACCCATCCACTCTGTTCCCTTCCCACTGCCTGGCCTCCTCCACTTTAGTTCTGGACCAGCGCTGGCCAATAAAAACATGCCATGAGCCACATATGCAATTTTTATTTTCTAGGAGCCACATTAAAGTTTAAAAAGAAATGGGTGAAATGAATGTCATTAGTATATTTTATTGGACCTAATAAAGCTAAAACACTATCACTTCAACATGGGATCAATACAAAAATTATTAATGAGATGTATTCCTTTTTTTTTTTTTTTTTGTCCTAAGCCTTTGCAGGCTGGTGGGTGTTCTTTGTGTACAGCCCGCCTCACTGTGGCCTCACCCTCTGGAAACCACCAAGAGCCACAGGAAGCTGGTGGCTGCAGTATGGACCTGGCCTCCTAACTGGTCCGTTTGCCTTCAGTCTCAACAAGGCTTTGATAAATCGGAGAGGAAAGTCCAAGGATTTGCTGCCTTAAGAGGGGAGCTCCCTCTGAAGAAAGCCAGATGGGAGAGGCGGCCATGGGTGTCCAGACTGGGGACATCCTGGTGACCTTCTCAGTAGGCACTGTCTCTTCTGTCTGATCTCACACTTCCCCGCTCCCTGGGTCTGACCACTTCTCTGTCCGCTCTCCACCGTGGTGTCTGCAACATCCTCTTTTCCTGATACAGGCTGGGTGTGGAGGGACAAGATAAGACCAAGTGGGGGTGCCAGGGAGTGGGGGTGCAGGGAGTGGGGGTGCAAGGGGAGGAATGTGATGAGGGACGCCCAGTCTTATACTCACCCCTCCAGGAAGCCCAAAAATTCTCTCCAGATCAGGTGGTGTGAGGATGTCCCTGCCCACCACAGAGCCCTTGAAGCCAGGGGCGTAGGCCTCGATGCAGTCAAACACTGAGCACAGGACGGCAGAGAAACGAGACGGTGTGAGGAAGAAGAAGAGGGGGCGCTGTGTTGTACAACTTGGCAAATGTATGAAAGTTCATTAAACTACACACTTAAAATGGGTCTATTTTTATCATATGCAAGTTATATCTCAATAAGCAAAAAATACATAAAGAGTCCAGGGGCAATAAATAATTCATTACAAAGGCCTCTGGGCCCACCCCACTTTCCCACCCGCTCACACCAGCCCTAAACACAAAGTTACTTGTCTCCCGTGTATATGCGAAGCTGTCTTCACCTCCTTGCTCTGCTCAAGTTGTTTCTTAGCTTGGAATACCCATTACTACCTGGCCAGCTCCTATTCTTCCTTTAAAACCCAGCTCAGATGTCCCTTCCTTGGGAAAGCTCTCCTTGTCTCTCTGGCGTGTACCTTCCTCCTTCGATTCACAGCGTAAGTTGTGTTGTAAGATTGGTTCCTCTATTAGTCCCCCCAAATCCTAACTGGACTGTGAGCAACGTAAGGACCGGAACCGTGTCTGTTAGGCTTTCCTAGCCCAGTGCCAGACCCTAGCAGGCACTCCCTGTGTTGACTTGGGGTTCCCTTGGGTACCTGTCTCCCTTTGGGACAGGACCCGCCATGGCTAATCCTGAATGCGCAGTCAGGAGGAGAGGGGTGCGTTGGGGCTGCACGGCCCGCGGCTCTGGAGACAGGACGGTCCGGCCCTCTTTACCTTTGTCCGCATAAGCGTTTCTCTCCTGCTCATCCCACACCTTGCCCCCAGCCAGCGTGTAGGGGGTGTACTGCGTGAAGAGCGAGACGACGTGGCAGCCGGCGGGAGCCAGGGTGGGGTCCAGCGAGGAAGGGATGCAGAGCTCGATCAGAGGCCTGCCACGCGGGGGAGGGGTGAGGGTCGGGTGTGAAGAACAGCAGCTGCCCCAAGGGAAGGGCTGGGAGCGTCTCTGAGCTGACAGGGACATAATGAAGGAAGGCCTGGGATGACGTGGCCCCAAGGCCGCTGTCTCTGTGAGGCTGAGGCTGTGGCCGTTGCTTGCCTGCATGGGCTCCGTGCCCCCCAGGGATAGTCCAGACAGCTCCAGAGGTGCTCCCAGTCCCTCCCCAGCCTCCCCACCCCCTGCCCCAGGGCCTCCGGTCCCCTTTAGCCTCCCTCTCAATGGGTGCTTGCCCCACCTTCCTCCACTACCCCCTGGGCTCTGCCCAGCCTCTCAGGTGTCCAGGGCCCAGCAGGCAGCACGAACGAATGAGGAGAGGGGCCAGGCCTAGGGCGGCAGGTGCTCAGGTAGCTCCTGTCCCATCGCCTTTCTCTGAGCGGCCAGGGGAGTCAGAGCCGCCGGGGCTGCGGCCGCCAGACAGAACCCTGAACGGCCTCCCCCCCCTCACCTGCTAATAACACCCTGTCTACTTGGGGCACACTTTCCCTCTCATCTCCACATGTGACCACGTGAAATGGCCTTTCCCCTGCATCCCTCACTTACAGTGTGTCTTCTGAGCCTGGTTGACCGCTAGGCAGCTCCACAGTCACCTGCCCCACCCCGAATGCCTAACGCCTGCTCCTCCCCAGACACACCAGCTTCCCCTTCTTCGTAAAGACAACCACCACCTTCCAGTGGCTCCTCTTTCTTGCTCACACCTCGCTTCCTGTCCAGCAGCTAATGCTGTCAGCTTCACCTTCAAATACCCAGTATCTGGTTACTTCTTTTTTAAAAATTTTTAATGTTTTATTTATTTTTGAGACATAGAGAGACAGAGAGTGAGCAGGGGAGGGACAGGGAGAGGGAGACACAGAATCTGAAGCAAGCTCCGGGCTCTGAGCTGTCAGTACAGAGCCCAACGCAGGGCTGGAACGCATGAACTGTGAGATCCTGACCTGAGCCAAAGTTGGATACTTAACTGACTGAGCCACCCAGGTGCCCCTATCTGGCCACTGCTTTTCACTTCTACCACCCCTACCCTGGTCCAGGCCACATGTCTCTGTCCCTTGGATTCTGCAATAGTAACCAACTGCAACAGATGCTTTTTTTTTTTTTTTTCTTCCTCCAAACAGTGGCCAGAGGGGTCTTTCCAAAATGTAAGTCATGCTCTGCACAAACTTTCCTGAAGTAAAAGCCAGGAGTGGCTGCCACGGGCCAGCAGGATACCCCACCTCTTCCCTTCACTCCCAGGTTCTCATTCTTGCGCCTCTCTGGCCGCATCCCTGTGCCTCCCACACAGCGCTCCACTCCTGCCCTGGGGCCTTTGCACCTGACCTGCCTTCTACCTGGATGTTCTTCCTCGGATATTTATAAGATTTTTATTCCCAGTTAGTTCCTTTGGGTCTCTGCTCAAATGCCATGCTATCAGAGATGCCTTTCTTTCTTGACTTTCTTATAAAGACTAGCAACCACCCCTCCTCTGACCTATTTTCTCCATATTATCAGTGCATATTCATTGATTGCCTTGTCTTCCACAACAGAAGGTCAGTGACCTGAGGCCAGAGGCCATGCTGACTTTGCTTGCTGCTCTGTGCCCAGGTTCCTGGACTAAGCCTGGTACAGAGTAGGGGCTTCAAAATATTTATGAATGAATGAATGGACATTGCCTTCTACCCTTCTCGCAGGGCACGTGTCCTCTTTACCTCATGCTATAAATATTTATATGCCTGACTTATGATAAGCTCTGGGTCTGTTTCATGCCCCTGCCCGACCTCTAAGTCACCAACCCATACTTAACAGAGTCCTGCCCAGAGTAGGTTTTCAACAAGCTATGGTGGAAGTTGACAGTAGGGAGAGACACTGCTCCTGTAAGACCCCTGTCTGTTCCCAGAAGGAGGGAGAGACAGCTGTGGTGGGAGGTAGGAAATGCTTTTAGAAGCTTTGCATGAAAGCATCTCGTCAGAGACAAGAGACCATGCAGCAGGGGAATCGGGTGAGTGCGCGCCCACTGAGGGGGCTGCCGAGTCAGAGAAACCCCTTCTCTGACTCATATACCCAGAAAGCATTTCCTGCAACTCTTCCCCAATGCCAGGGCTGCTTTCTCTGCAGTCCTTTGCCCCTCCTGCGAATCCGTGACACTTGGCTGAACCGTGTCCTACCCTTTACTCCTTACCTGCCCTGGCCCACAGGTGTCTTGTCTCAGATGTACTTCCTATCCTTAGACTTAAGTATGGATTTAGGCAGATTCTGAGACACTGTGAATGTCCAACACCAGGAGGAAGAGGCAGTCCTTGTCGTGTCTACACACACCCGGCCCATGTGTGTAAGATTGTAACAGGGGACTGAACCCCAGCGCCCACCCACCTGTGGGAAGGCAGGCCATCCATGGCATCTTCGAAGGCCCGGTGGAGGAGGAGGGTGTCTTCGCAGTTCAGGTGGATGGAGCACTGGTGATGGGGCAGTGGCTGGCCCCCGGGAGCATTGGGGGCTGCCAGGAAGTCAGGCAGCCTGTCGACAGCCACTGATGGGCCAAGGAGGAGGATGAGGGCCCAAAGGCCTATGCCCTCGGCCCCCAGGATCCTCTTTCTCTACCCATAACCCTGCTCACCCATGCGGTGAACTGGAAAGAAAAAGTATGAAAGTGACCTCTAGGGGGCTGGAGGTCAGGGAATAGAGGTGACGATGTAGATCAGTTCTTCCCGGACTTGGAAATTTCTCACTCAGGTAATGTCAGAAGAGACAGCTCTGCAGTCTGGTGCGCCTCTTACCGTTGATCTTGGTAACAGGTGACTGGGTGTCTAGTCGGGAGATCTTGTCCACGAACTCCTCAGGAAGCCATTCCTGGAAGAAGGTTCCATGAAAAAGCCTGGGGATGGTTGAGGCCCCGAGGAGGCCACCTTCTTCCTTTGTTCAGGATGGTCCCTCAACCGCTGCTGCCAGAAATCCCCTCCATCCTTCAGAGCTCAGCCAAAGCACCTCCTCTGTGAAGTCCTTCTGGATTCCCTCCAGCTTAACGCTAACCACTTCTTCCTTTGAGCTCTGCCGGAGGAATGTAAATAGCCCACACGAACTCCTGCTTTGGATATGGCCAGTGGGCTCCTTTCCTCCTCAGGTCTCCAAGCTCCTGGAAATCGTGATTATCTGAGAATTGTCTTGACAAGGTGCTTTTGAACTGTTGTTTGTTGAATTTTCTTAGTGGAATCACTCAGAAAAAGTGGTATCTTGTACCCCCACATAGTCCCAAGAGTGGTTGGGACCTCCATACTCATATTATCATACCTTCTGGTGATGGGGAAGCTGTGCTCAGTTGCAAAAATTTCCCCCAATCCTCACCCCTCCCTAGACGCACGCACCTCTGTAACATCCTCTCACTGTAACTCTGGGCTTGGGGCAAGGTGGATGTTAGCAAGGGGGATGCAGATAGAAGCCTGAACAGCACCTGCATGAGTGAGCTTACTTACTTCTGTCTTCTGCCAGACCCTGAGAACATGCCTGGACTTACGCTGAAGGATGAAGGACACATGGAGCACAGCTAGTCAGCCTGGGCCCTCCAGCAGAAATCGTCCTGGACTAGCCCCAGCCAGCCAGCCTGGGCACATGAGTGAGGCCAGCCAAGAGGAACAGGGCCCACTAATTCCCACGGCCGAGGGAAGGTGCGTGAGCAAGGCCAGAGTGGCTGAACTCGGTCAAATTCAACTGAATTCTCCAGTTCTGTGTGCTAAATCAGTATTCTTAATATATGCCCAGAAGCTGAGTGTTTGTTTCCTACAGCTTTGATGTGGCCATAGGTAATTGACACGGATGGTAGAATTAGTGTTGGTTAGAGGGGGAATCAGGGTAGTAGGGTAAAGTTGGACCCGGGTTCTAGCTCTGGCTCTGCTAATCGCCAGCTGCATGGCCTAGGTCACCTCATTCCCCCCGAACTTCCTTCCCACCCGTGAGGCTTCTTCCCTGTTTGCTGCCTGCCCGTTGGGTAAGGGAGAGAAGGATGGCTTCCCCCAGTGCAGAGAGACCCGGTGCCTGTCTCTCCCATCCTCATGCAGTCCTGGCTCCCTTGACCAACACCCCCCATGTTGGCGGACATCTTGCTTCCACCTCCCAGGCCTCACCTGTGGTGTCAGCTTCAGGAAGGTGGCTTGTGGGGATGCATTGGACAGCACCACTTTGCTCCTCACCTCCGAGCCGTCTTGCAGCACCACTCCTTGGACGCGCCCTTCGCTGCTCACCCGCACTTCAGCCACTGTCTAGAGCGCACCAGAGTGAGGCCCCGGGAGCCCCCCAGGAAGGAAAATACAGCTGGATCTTGGGGGACTGCTGCTGTCTGTGCTGCCCCCGGGCACTGCCAGCTTCCTCAGCCTGAAGCCACCCTGCCAGGCTCTGCAGCAAAGTGGTGAAGCCTTAGCCCACCCACTCCAATGAAAAGGCTCAACCCAAACGGGGTTAGGGGCCAGAGAATTCAAAGGGGCTGGTCAGAAGAACTGGGGCCTGGCTGCCACTGCCCAGCCATTAACAGGCTACATAAACTTAGCCCCTTGATTCCAGCCCCACTTTGTGTCAGTAAAATGAGGAAGCTTCTGAATTTGACGTTTTGTTCTGTACTGAGATTCTTGCAAATAATCAGGGTAGGGGTAGGAGGGACATTCACCTTTTCGGTGAAGACGCTTGCTCCGTGTGCGGTGGCTGATCTTGCGATGGCATCAGAGAGGGCACCCATGCCACCCTGGACGTAGCCCCAGGCCCCTTGCATTCCCTCCAGGTCCCCCATCACGTGATGTAGCAGCACATACCTGAGGACAGACCACTGGGATCAAGTGGTTGGAGGTGGGATTTAATCCCTGAGCTCTAGCTGCAAATAGACCTTTCTTTCTGCTATTAGCCTCTCCCTGACCACATGCTGCCTTTCCCATCAGCCTTTAAGTGGGCTCTAGGCTCTTGTAAGAGCCTTTTGCCTCACACCTTACATTCTCTCCCCACTCAAACGTGTCTGTGTGCAGAACTTTAGCCCCAGCCACGCTGCGGTGAACCCCAAACCTGCAGCTCTACCTCTTTCCTGAGCGCCAGCTACCCAGAGACCCCCATCTGGGTGGGGTTTTCGGCAGGCAGCTAAACCCATCTCTTTTCCCCATTCCCCAGCCTGCTGCTCCTTCACTGTCCCATCTGGGTGATGGCAGCTCCCGTTTCCCACAGATGGCTGAGGGCCAGTTGTGACTCCCACCAGGGCTTCACGGCCTCCATGCAATCAGAGGCCATCCACCCTGCCTCCCAAAGAATTTTCCAGTTCTCGCTCCCTGAGGCCTCTTCCCTGGTCCAGGCCTCTCCCTTCACCCCTAAGCGGCTGTACTGATGTTCTTCTAGTTGGACACTTTCTCCCACCCTTTCTTCCCTGCAGACTTGGAGCCTGATCTCAAAGCCTAGCTGAGTCCTGTCGCTTCTCTCCTTTGCCTCCTTTGCTAACTTGGTGTTGCTTTCAGGATAATGGCCAATCTCTGAAAATGGCCTCCAGGCTCCAGCCTCCTCCTTCAGCAGGCTCCCCCATGCAGCCCACACTCCTGCCGAAGCAAGCCCCCACATCGTCCGTGCTCGGCCCCCTGCGTCTCTGCACGTGCTGTTCCAGCAGTCCAGAAGCCCTTCCTCCCTCGTGTCTGTTTACCTAATTCCTCCTGTCCTGAGAGTCTCAGATTAAACATGCCTTCCTCCTGGAGACCTTCTCCGACTCTGGACAGCGTTGCGCCCCTGCTTGACCCCCATCCTAACCCTCACAGAATTCCGGAACCATCACTTGCTCTGTGTCTACCTCTCCTGTTAGGATTTCAGCTCCATTTACTACCTGGCCCCAGCACCTGGCACAGGGAAGTGCTCCATCAATATTGACTGAAAGAATTAATGGAGAAACAAATGACTTAAAGGCACACTACACAAACTGGGCAGTAGCTAGACCTCCTGGAGACCCACAGAGAAAAGGACAGGAGGCCCCAGCTGGAAGATCCCAAACTGGCTGGCGGATCACAGAGTTGGCCGAAGTATGGCAACCGCTGCCAACCCCCTTTTTCCATGGCCCTGGGGAATTCGGAGCTGGCTTAGTGTGTGTGGAAAAACCACTTCCAAGGGTGGGTCTCATCTTTTGAGAGAAAAGCCACGTTGACAGCTTCTAGCTGCATCTTCTGATGCACTGGAAATGGCCCAACACTTGGCAACATCCTCTATCCCAACACGCACACACACACACGGCACACACACGGGCACACACACGGGCACACACATAAATATGCACACACACGCACCCTCTGTTTCTGCTCCTACAAGGGGTTCATTAAGTCATCCCATAGGCAGGGACGTCACTGTGTCTGCCTACCCCCTCTCGGCTCAGGCTGTCAGCACAGCCCCCACCCACAGCGTCCCACCCTCACCAAAATGTCTGTGCCTGTGCGTGCCCTGGAACCCAGGGAAAGGATCTGGGAGGGGGAGGAGGGCTAATGGGACTTTGTGGGAGGAGAAGAGATAAGAGGAGAGACAGAGAAGAGGAGTGAATGGGAGAGAGAGAGAAACAAAGGAGGAAGTGGAGGAGGAGGAGAGTGGGAAGTTGTTTGTGTTGAGATATCACGGTGGGAAGCAGTAAGGAGTAGCGGCTAAGGAGGATTTTGGAGGGTCAGACAACATGGGCTGGAAATCGGCTCTGCGACCACTGGCTGTGTGACTTCAGGCAAGACCGGCCCCTTCTTTGAGCCACAGCTCTCAGATGTTGCTCTGAGGGTTAGGCGGGCGCTTGGCTTTGCACCTGGCTCCTGGCTCACTGGGAGAGCTCGGTGAGTGGCAGCTGTTAGCACTCTGCTCCCCCTGCACCCCTCACCACCACACTCTGCACTCACCCGCTTCCTGGAGTATGGGGACTTGTCATGGCTCCAATCACAGCATCTGTTGCCAGAGTGGCTTTTAGAGGCTCAGACTCAAACCACTGATCCAGTACCTAGGACAGCAAAATGTCAGGGAGAAGGGCACAGGGACCTGGGGAGGACAGTCCCCCTCACAGTGGGGTCCAGCCTGAGGCTGGGGAGCCCCTCACCTTTGTAATAGGAGCCGTGAGGATCTGGTAATACTGGGGCAGCTGGGCTCCCAGGATGCGACCTGAAAGAGAAGGCCCATAAAACGGGCTGAGATAGGCAAAAAGGAGCCACTCCAATCTGTGATATCTCTGTTCCTATTTCTTTATCCGTAAAATGGGAGTAATAGTTCATATGCCCAGGAGCTATTGTGAGGACTAAGTGAGAGGTGTAAAGTGATTGCAAATTCATAGGCACTTAATGCATTTTAGTTGTTAGAATTAGTTTTGGAAAAATGTTAAATTGTCCCTTATTCCCTTACTTCGAGCTCTATAAAACCCATACCCTGGGAGGTAGCCAGCTTGGCCAGTCCATTGCTCTGAGGCTGAGTCACACTCCATCAGAGCATCGCTGGGCAGTCAGGCTCTGAGGGCATGGGGCATGGTCTCCGGCTGGTGTAGCCACAGTGCCGAGCTTAGTGCCTAGCACACAGCACTTGCTTAATACATTTTATCGCATGAAGCTTCTTTGACAGGTCATCTGAGAGGTAGTGTTTACTTTTGGCATTTGTGATAGATTTTCCTGGCCCTGACCCTTCACCCCTCCCTGTATCCACACACTTTGTCCATGCACTTCTGCAGAGCCCCCCACTGGAAATCTTTCCAGTTTCACCCCTCCATTCCTTGGGGTCACCCTTCAAAATCAACTACTTGCATATAAGCTTTTTCTCAGGCTCTGTTTCTAGGGCAGGCTGGGCAAAGACCTTCTCCCCAGAATGCTCGGGTAGCCTCTATTAATTGATGGCAGTTGCAGGCTGAAGAAGGTTCAGGCCTCTGTCCAATCATCAAGAAAATGGGCTCGACTCTCCAAAGGTCATTTATCATACTCGATGCCTGTCCTTTGGACTTACCTGCTTGCAGCAGGGGTTTGAGGGTGGAGAGCGACTTGAGCCTTTGCAGCAGGGAACCCCTCTGGAAGGCCTCCATATCCACGGGCGCTGCATCGAGCAGAGGGTCTATGGCTAATGCCAACCGATTCATGAACGCCTCATATTTGGGAAAGGCCTGGGAGAGAGAGCCCTGAGTCAAGGCCCCATTACTTAGAATCCCACAAGGTCGTTGCCCCAGTGCTCTGCCCTCCATGGCGCCCCCATGTGGCCTGCTGTATCTCACCAGGCCCCCGTGACTCCGCCTCTCACTCAGCCCCTGCTGTGGCAAATTACTCCCAGTTCAGGGTCTTCTGAGCTGATGTCTGCACCAGGGGAGGTCAGAGACATGGTCAGAGACATCCTGAGCAAGCCAGCAGGGTGGTGGCAGGGATGAGGGGTTACGCTGGCCAAGACCAGCTGTCAGCCTCAGAAAAGTGGCGATATCCTAGGATGTGGTTTCTGAGATAAACCATCAAACCACTTTAAAGTTTCTTTTTGCAGCCTGTCTTCCCGTGTCTTACTGGTAAAAGTAAGGTCTCTTCCCCTGTGTTCCAGCAGATGGTTAGGAGGCCCACCCTTCCTTCACTGGGATGGAGGTCTCGGCCACCGGGGCCCTATCTCGATCCTCAGCCCCCAGCTTTTACTTTTTGGTTCATCTACACTCATGAATATATCCATGGAATTTTAATAAGGTTACAAAAGAAAAGTTCTATGTGGAAGGCTTGATAAAAATGGCCTTAGCAGCCTTCTCAACGGTAGGGCTTTCATGTGACAACGTGAAAAGATAAAACCAGAATTTGGCTTCCTTACTTTCCACCCCGGGATGTGGCATCTGCCTCGGGCTCCCGTGGTCACTGGCACGCAAGGCCTCCGCCACTGTCCTATAGGCCCCGGGGACATGGCCTTGTCCTGAATCCTCTCTGGTGCATCGGAGATGGTCAGGGTTTGGAGGAGATGGTGGAGGCAGGAGTCCCTGACCCGCCGCACAAAAAAAGAAGCGCTTTGAAGAAGCGAGCTCCCCGAGTGATTCTGCTCATCAGCCAGGTCTAGAAACCACTGGCTGAAGAGAGATTCTGTGTGTCTGCAGTTCTCTTGGTTTCACCCAACAATAGATCACAAAAAGCAACACGCATGGATTGTATTAACCTAGGTTCTTCTTATGAAAATGTCCTCAATGATACATGAGTTAATGCTATGGGTGGCTCAGTCAGTTAAGCGTCCAACCTCGGCTCAGGTCATGATCTCACCATTTGTGAGTTGGAGCCCTGCATCTGGCTCTGTGCTGACAGCTCAGACTCTGGAGTCAGCTTCAGATTCTGTGTTTCCCTCTCTCCCTGCCTCTCCCCTCCTCTCCCTCAAAAATAAATAAACATTAAAAAATTTTTAAAAGATTATTCAATGACTCATATACATGAAGATACCCAACAAATTCCTTATAATAAATCCCAAGGGAAAACTGTGTTCTCCATCAGACCTATGTCCTTCCTTCCAGCAGACTGGCTTATGCCATTCTGGACAATTTTTTGCCTTGGGCTGCCTGAGGACTGATGCCAGATCCAATGAATATTTATTACAACTCTCTTGTCCTAAATTCCTGATCCGGTTCATTCTATCCATAATTGTCTCTGATCCTCCCTTCATCCCTCTCTTTCAGCTTTCATGGGCTTTAATATCGATGATCAGCTGGAGTTCTACCTGAAAGCTGGAGAGACAGAAAGCACATATAGGAGAAGTACATACCAGTGGATTCCCTTTTGAAATTCAACCAGCAGACGCCACCGGAACATTGGCCTCATACTGAACACACATAAGTTTGAGGGTCTCCAGCGTCCACTGGCCTTAACCAGTGTCCCCCATCTCCTTCTCTCTGAAGTGCTCCAGATCAGAGGCTTCCACAGACTGGAGCCCTCCTAGGACAGGTGGGGTGGCCTGTCCAAGCCCTCGTGGCCTTTGGACGACATGCTCTAGGATGACTCCGACCAGGCCCACTTCTCTTCAGGAGCCACCTACAGGCTGGCAAGGGAGCAGGAGACCCGTTGCCGGTCCCTTTCCTTACCTGCGCATCTTTCCGCGAGAACTGGGCGATCTGCTTCTGGTTTTCCACCATGTCTGTGCCCAGAAGAAGGGACCTGGGCACCTTGTTGCCTGTGCCTTCTTCCAGCATCGGGGTGAAGGAGTAGGGGTTTCGAAGATGAAGCCTCAGGCCATGCTTCTGCAGGACACACATAGCAAAGCAACATTTTAAGGGATCTGTGGCCTCTGCCCTTGACCCTTCTCTGATTGTGTTTGCAACAATTTAGGTATCTGCATATAGTTCTCCAAGGCATGTGGCTCTGGTTCTTACATTTTCTAATGTAAGTGCATAAAAAGCGCACTTGCCCAGCACTCTTTTGCAGGCCATGCCACACCACACATGTCACACCACACCACGCTATGCCACCCCACCCCACATCACACTATACCCTACCATACCACACTATACCACACCACACCACACCACACTTCACACCACACCACACCACACCACACCACACCACACCACACACCACACCACACCACACCACACCACACACCACACCACACCACACCACACCACACCACACCGCACCACACCACACCACACCGCACCATACCACACCACACCGCACCATACCACACCACACCACACACCACACCACACCATACCACACCACATCATACCACACCACACCATACCACACCACACCATACCACACCACACCATACCACACCACACCATACCACACCACACCACACCATACCACACCACACCATACCACACCACACCACACCATACCACACCATGTAATTCCATACCACACCACGCTAGTCTGTGCCAAGGACTGTACTGGGGTTTACAACGATCACCTCACAACAACTCTAACTATATTGTCTTCATTGTATGAATACAACAGAGGCTCAGAGCAGTGACATAACTCATCCAAGGTCACCTTGGGAGGTGGATCTGGGTTTCAAAACCACATCTCTGTGACTCCAAAGCTCTGGCTCTCAGCACTAGTCTGTAACTGCCCCCACTTCAGAAATAAATAATTAAAATTTAGAAAGACACAATAAAGCAATGGTTATGTGAAAATCCATACTTACAAGGTAGATAAATTATTCACATCAAAAAATTTTATTTACTTTGCAGACTCATTTACTCCAGGGTCACTTTAAATGGAAGTTCCCTCGATGCACTTAAAATATGATTTGATTTACAAATATTTGACAAACAAATATTTGGCAAACAGAACTTTCCAAGAGCACATCTACTTCTTCAGTGGAGGTACAGATAAAACACAAGGGGCCTGAGTTGGCCCCACAAGTAAGACTCATTATTCCAACTAAAGACTTCTTTTCTTCTGAACCCACTTTATTGGGGTATGAGTGACATACCAAAAGCTGTACGTATTTAATGTGCTTAACCTGATGGATTTGGCACCTCGAGTCTTCTTTCCCAGATCCTTGGCCAGCTCCCTCTCCTCTTTGACTGCTCTGCTCACATGTCACCTGAGCAGCAAGGCCTTACCATCCCAGCATTTCCTGCTCCCTTGTCTTGCTCTATTTGCCTCTGAAGCACTAACTGTCCCCTGGCTAACTGCATGCTTAGTCACCTGGTCTCCCCCAGGGGGAATGTCAGCTCTGTGAGCTCAAGGGCATAGTTCCTTTGCTCAGTGCTATATCCCTAGCACCTAGATATAGTGCAATCAATACGTATTCTGTAGACTGAATAAATGAACGCCATGTTGCAGACAAGGTACATGTCCAGAGACAGAAATGAGATCTGTGAGTAGAAGTTCTGGAAAACACGAGGAAACCGAAAACGCCCTCTCCAACAATTACAGCTGATGTTTCCTCAAACCAGAGATATTCCAGATGGTGGGATCTCCATGGGTGGAACATTCTATGGAGGTGGGTCCAAAGGTTTGGTAGGGGTTTGAGCTGGGAGACCTCCAGGGTCCTTTCTAACACCAACATGGGGAAATGTATTTGATCCAAGCTGGAGGAAATTTCAGCTTGGTTTTTCTCCTGTTAGTAAATTCCTTCTCACCCAGGAAGTATCCTTAGTTTCTCCTTTTCCTGTCTCTTCATCACAACTGTCCCCAGGTCTCCAGAAGTTGTCCACTTCTCTCCATCTCCACTGCCCCTCGGCCCAAGCCACCATCCTGTGAATTACTGCAGCCACCGCCATCCAGAGACCACAGATGCTTCTACCACATTCCACACTGCCCAACAGGTGGACTGACCTTTCAGGAAGTCATAAACTCCATCCCTCCACTCCCTCTGCCCGTGGCACTCAGGATAAAATGCAGTCCCTCCTTCACAGCCTACAAGGCCCTAGGTCAGCCGATCTGGACCTTCTCTCCCTCACCCTCGGCTGCCCCTCTGCCATCACTGTCTGTTTTCTTCTGCCTTGGGCCTATCCACCTCTACTTCTCTCTGACTGGAACATTCTCTGCTCAGGTGGCCCCAGGCTGGTGACTTCTTAGCATCCACATGTCAACTCAAATGTCACCTCCTCAGGGAAGTTTTCCTGGATGCCAGTCCAGGCTGGACCTCTGGTCCCTCACTATCATTTGTTTTGTTTTCCTTTCTTCAGGCAGCACCTACCTCTACCCGAAGTTCCCTTCCCAAAATGCAGAAACCTTGCCTCCCCCACTCACCACAGTGTCCCCAAGGGCTTCTCACAGTGCGGGACACAGGGCAGGGGCTCAGAAATGTTTCCTGAATTAATAACCCACCCAGATAAGGGACCCAAGAGTTATTTCAAGTATAACTAATTGAATATGAATATTTTTTTTTGTCTGATTCAGGACTTTCTCATCAATTGAATCTTTGTCATTCTTGATGGTCTTGTGGTGTCAGAATCAGAAGAGGGATGTTGAATCACCATTAGATCTGTTCAGATCATACAGTTCTCTTATAAGAACAAAGCCCTTCTTCTGATTTCCCCGTGAGGGTTCTCAGCATGCACAGCATCCCGGGTGGAAATCGCTAGGAAGGGACAAGGTGTATACGAGGGACCAGAGGTAAGGGAGGCCCAAAGGGTGTGGTTCCCAGGCCCCAGCACAGTCCTGCAGAATCAGCCCTCAGATCAAGGTCCCCCAGGGTCCCATCAGTTTCCCACGTTGTTCTGGCAGACCTGCAAGTTTGAGAGCTCTGCCTCAGGTTTCCGGGAGCAAATTCTCATCATTGCCCAGTGTGTGAACTTAACCTCCCAGGACCTCGGTTCCCTCATCATAAAATGGGAACACTAAAACAATTCTTGTCTCCCAGGTGAAGACCAGTTGATAGAGCATTAGGGCTTGTAGCCCAGGTTGTGACACTGGTAAAATAAACTGTTCTTTATTGTTGTCTAGAAAGAGGACATTCCTAGACTGGCTTCAGTCACCCCGCTGTAGACGCCTTCCGGGGTGTCAGTGTCCTGTTCAGTAAGGTGTTCCAGGCTCCACCTGGGGTCAGTTTGTGTGTCACGAAGCAGGACTATTTTCTCCCTTGATTTGGGCACCATGCTCCTATTAATGCAGCTCAAGGTTAGAGGTCAAATCATCCACCCAATTCACTTGGGCTTTTCTAGTTAAAGGAACCCTATGACAAAGACCGTTTTCAAATGAGTAACTTTTGTAAAGAGAATACTCACGCGAAAATTTCTGTTCTGTCATCCTGAGTTTTCTGAAGTTAGATTTTTCAAAAGGAGAGTCTACCCACAACCCCCCTCCCCCACCCCTGCCACATCGCCATGATGTATAATGGGTGTGTCTGCAGGCTGCCTTCAGCTATCATCTGGTGTGGACTGCAGACCAGAGACCCTTTCCCAGGCCTTGGCTACCTTTCATCCAGTCTTGCCCGGCTGGCCATGATCTCTCTCTCTAAGTAGGCGACCGTTGTTGAAGAGCTTATTAATTTCAGACTTTCAGTTTAGAGCAAAGTTGGTGCTAATGTGCTCACAGCTTGTTGTACGGATGACACACAGGCCCCTTTTCTCTGAGTAGTGGTGACAGAGGCACCAAGCCGGGAGAAGCTAAGTGGAGACCGAGTTTACAAAAGAGGCAGTGGGGGTGATAGGACCTGAAAGGGCAGGGGCAGAGTTGGGTCAGCCTGTGGCCCGAGGTTAAGCTGACTAAGAGGAGTTGTCTAGGGGCACTGAGCGTTCTCAGGATCCCCTCGAAGCAGCCCAGGAGCCAGAGGAGCTGAAAGTCCCTGGGGTCCAACTTCCTGCTCAAGAGACTGAGAATGGTATAGGATCTAAAGGAGGGCAGAAATCGGGCTCTTGTCAGAGGCCCGAGGGTTCAGGCAGGTATCCAGTGAGGGCCAGGCGAGATGCCAGGAGGCGATGGGGCCGGGCAGAGCTGGAACCCCAGTCCCGTGCAAGGCACCAGCCAGTGCCACATGCAGGAACATGGGCCTGGTGTTGACAAGGTTCTTCAAAAGATGTCCAAGTTTATGTGAAATTTCCCATTTCTAAGACACTGGGTGGGCTAGACAAGCCTCATCTGTAGGACTGCACCGAGGAAAGCGCGCGGGTAGACCAACCCTTGGATAGGAGAGACCCCAGGTGCAGGGAACCACGTGGGCGCAAAATAGGGAGGCTTCACCCCAGGTCAGGAAGCTGGAACCGCCCTCTGCCCCACCTTCAGGCCATCGGGGGCGGGGGGTGGGCTCTACCTTCAGCTCCAGGTCGGTATAAATCTGTGGCCTCAGCAGGCTGAGGAGGTAGGACGCTCGGGAGAACTTAAACCCTGGAATGGAATCCGATAAAGACAGTCACTGGTGGTCACACCAGTCACCCTCTGCCACCCCACACCACCTCTCAGGGCTCACCTGGGATGATCTCCTCGGTGACAGCTGCACCCCCGATCACTGGGCGTCTCTCGAAGACGGCCGTGTTCACCCCCAGTCTCTGCAAGTACGCCGCCTGGGGGGTACACAGGGCCCTCCCTTCACCCCTGGGGCCGACCTGCCAGCTCGGGGTCCTCGCTACAGGGCCAGCGTGCGACCCCTTGGCTCATGCTATTCCCGCCTCTGGGAATGTCATTCCCCTTGCTTCCTCTGTAAATTCCCACTTTCCCAGATGTCTTGCAAGATGCAACAGGACTGATCCCGCCTCCATGTCCCAGCTAAAGGTGACCTTCCCTCCTGCATGGGCTGGGTGGCTCTGGGAAGTCATATTGCACCCTGCCCAGCCCTGCCCAGGGTGCCCATCTCCGCTAGGTGAGGGTGAGCCTCATCTCCTCAGAAGCACAGAGGCAGCACATGGGCTTGCCCAGTGATCGCTCAGCCAGGCCACCCAGGCTCTGCTTCCTCTTTCTGCCCCAGCAGCCTCAGTACCTAATCCATCCAGCTTTGGTTTCCTTGAGCACAAACATAGGCCTGATGATAATAATACCCCCCTGGCTTGCTTCATGCACTGATCCCTGACACACAGGACGTGCTCAACAGAGGAAGCTACGATCATAGCACAGCTTTATTTGGGGGGTGAGCAGGGGACACTTTTCCTAACACTTAGTGGGAAATCAACTGGCTCTGAGCCTACAGACCTGCAGTGCTGGTCTTCCCACCACCATCCCCACCAAGGTAGCAACAGAGATGGTGTAACTCAGGAGGCTTCTTTTTAAAAGTTCACTTGGCAACGATTCTGTGCCAGACACTGCAAGTGTATCACTCCATTTAATCCACCCCACAACCCTAGAGGTGGGCACTGTGATTCTCCCCATTTCACAGATGAAGAAACTGAGGCCCAAGGAGGTCAATAGCTTGGCTCAGGCTCATGGAGTAGAGGTGTTGGGAATTGAAGCCAGGTGGTCTGGACTCGGGATCTATACTCCTGACACGTCTCAGTGAGGAAGAAAACAGGCCGCCCTGGCATTGGGAAGCCGCCTGGCCCTCGGCTGTAAACCATACTGTTCCCCCATCACGCCTGAGCAGCCTCATGGAATGGCAGCCTCAGACTGAGACTGTGATAAATGGGACAGAGCAAGCCCATCTCACAAGTTTGTCTAAGTACCAACATGAAACAAGGGCTCTGGGTCACCCACAAGATACCCAATACTCCCAACCCCCACCTCTTGGCCAAAATGAGAGGCTGTCGCTTCCTTACCAGTTACCCTTTCCTCCTACTGGTCCCCATCCCCATAGATAAGATTTATCCAGATGCCAGTCACAGGGGTGTTCCCACGTTCTGACAGTATCCCATCTAGAGCAGACCCCTCCTTTGTCCCTCAAATTATCCAATCAGAGTTCAAATCCTAGAATAAGCTCTTCTTAGCCCCCTCTTCCTGAGCTGCCTTGTGGTCTCCAAGGTGTGCATGCCCCCAGCCCCCCAAAGCCAGTCACCACCCACCTCCCTGAATGACAGGGCTGTGCCTGGGTGTGTCTTCGGCTGGAGGGCACTGACACCAGCCTCCCTTGGGCTGGGGACCTCCAATAACAAGAGTCCCAATCTGTGAGGCTTTGTGTGGCTGAGCCTCAAGGCACGTCGTCTGCTTGCTTTATGGCAACTCTGAGAGACTGGACGTTTTTATTCTCATTTTACTGTGGCTCAGAGAGTCTATGACTTGCCTTGACCTTCACAGATAGAAAGTGGCAGAGCTGGGGGACGAGCCCATGTTCATATTAACATAAAATCAATGTTTTAAATTACTGATCAGTTGAGTTACATAGCACTCCCTGTAACACATTCAAGTAAAACTAATATGTCAGGGAAAGGATTAAGATTCCATGCCAGTCTCCCAGCCCCCTCTCCCCAGCATTGCTAAGTCCTCCTGTATTGATGTTCTAGAGCTGCCTCTGCTTTAGAAAGATGTTCCATGCTTGTCTTGCGAATACCTCTGGCACACGCTGTGGCTTCCTAGGGGTACAGGGACCAGAGTTTGAGAAGCATAGCCTTAGGATAGCCTGACCTGGCTCAGCTTTGGACCTAGAAGCCAGTGGTGTTGGGGCCAGGGCCCTGCTTCTTCTGCTAGCCTGGCTTCCTCGCTGTCTCCAGGGCATACCTGGGGCCGTGTGACTGCTGGAGACTTCAGGGTGGCACATGGCCAAGACCTAGCTGGGGAGCAAAGGTGCTGTATACATAGGACTGCCCAGTCATCTGCAGTCAGAGGGCCCACCCGGCCTCAGGTCCCCAGGCTCTGACATATCTACCAGTCTATGTCAGTTACATACGCTCCCACCTCTTCATCATCTTGCTTCTGAAAGCTCCCTGACTCTCTCAAAGTCATGAGGAAATGCACATACCTTATGGAGAGAAGAAAGGGAAACCCTGATACCCTCCTTAACTACTGCAGAAATCCATTTGACAGCCACTGATCAGCACCTGGGAGAGGAGAGACTAGCCTGCCTCCCATGTCTCCCGTGGTCCACACCCTGCTGGCTTCCTCACATTCCGGCTGACAACCTCATGTCCAGGGGCCAGTGCAGTGGGGCAGAGGGGGAGGTACTCACAGCCACCAGCCCGTTGTGTCCTGCAATGAGACAAGGGAAAGAGGAGGAGAGCAGCGGTGGTCAGTAAGCAGACAGACCTAGGCCTTGAAGAATGTGGTCACCCATCCCTGTCTCCATGCTCGTGAAGATCCTGGGGAGGTAGCAGAGACTTGGATGTTGCAACAGCATCTAGCTTGATGCCATAAAACACCTGGTCTGTGGGGAGTCAGAAAACCTTGGTTCTTGTCCTGGCTCAAAAAATGTCCTGTCACCCTGGCCTGGCCAGTGGCTCCATGCTGGAGTGAGGGGCGAGGAGAAATCCACAGGCATCAGACAAAAGCTATCTCACGAAGCCTTGCATTGCTGGGCTTCCCAGCACCTGGGGACGAGCAAGTGACTGGTGAGGGAGCGTCACAACTCCCGTGCCAGGGACAGAAGGGGGGAATGGCCGGTATGCTGGCATGCAGACAAGACCTCCTTGTCTGGTGTGGAATCACCAGCCATCCAGGTGCGTGCTGGGTATGTGGCCGGCTGCTGTCAAACGTGGTTTGTTCTCCCCAGGTGTGGTTCACTGTAGTGCCCCAGAAGGCCTTAGTCATATGGGTTTGCCTTTGTCAATCACCAATGTTTTGAAATAAGATGGGAACGGTTCAAAATGAAGTAACTGAACACAGAGAGCTTCAATGTGTGCTGGAGGCATGCCAGCTGGTTGGGTGAACTTTGCTATCTTATATGTATATGCTTAAGTTTCTTTCCAAAAGTCTTAGGAGGGCTGCCCCTGGGTTAGGACCCCTAAACTTGACTTGGGATCCCATGCTGCACACAAGACCCACTGGTAGCAAGAGTCTCTCCTGCTTCCGGAAGCTTCAGGATCACCTGAGAACCCCTCCCCAGAGTCTGCTCAGCAGAGTGAAGGCGGGGCCCTGGGACAGATTTCCCACAAGCCCCCAGGTCATTCTGATGCAATTGGCCAAGCAAAGCCAGTGAGCTGGGAGTGCTGCTTCTCCCCCCACTTTAAGGATAGCACGCAGCTGCTGAGGGAGAATCCCTTTTTGGGCAGAGGACAGGCCTGGTTGTTTTCAGGCAGTGGGGCCAGGCCTTGTCTGGAACACTCGACACACATTTCTCCTTGGTGACAGAAGGTCACTTGAGTCTTCGGGGATGTCAGTAGAAGACTACGTTCTCTGAGCACCAGCCTGAACCCGGCGTTCACTCAAATAAAATGTTCAGCCATTAATTTGACAAACACCCATAAATAGGAGGCGGCAATGACCCACATGATGGATTTCTTCATGGCTGAGCTGATTTTGTTTTACACTTTCCACATAGAGACTCCCAGAATTTGAGAGGTCATTGAGCCAACTTCTCTTCCATTAAAGGAATCTCTAAAACAGAGCTTTTCAACTCTCTTTGACCAGGAGCCACAGGAGGAAGTGCATTTTACACTGTGATTTGGCACACAACCCACATGTAATGTATTTAACAGAAACAAAAGTTTCATGAACAGTATGAACTCATCATGTGATGAAGCTGATAAATCTATTTGATTATATTTCATGTAGAAAGATGAGTTAATATACTATTTTTATATATTTTGAAAGCCTTCTTAAGAAGATTTAAAAAATATGCTGGATGGGATTCATGAATGGGTTGCACCTGCAGTTTGAAAAGCTCTGCCCTCCAATATATATGGCAAATTAAAGGCAGACTGTCCTGGGCTCAACCTGGTTTTTGCTATTTACAGAATATGGCACTCAGAGGGTCATTCCAACCTGCCATGAGCTTTGGGCTTCTTGCAGTGTTGCAGGGAGAATAACCAGTAATATATGTAAAGCACCTGACCCTCGGAAACCCACAATAAATGGTAGCTATTTGTCTCTTAAATAGTGCTGATCATAAATCTCAGAAAATGAATAAAGGCTTCCAGGCAACTTGGTCCAATTCAATCACCACACGTGAGCCCACAGATGCACCAACAGACAAAGGTCAAGATTCCAAGAGCCCAGCCTCTTTCCTCCACTAGTCCATCCCCAGTCCTGCCTGGGCCCTCTTGTGGCTTCTGGTGACCTCTCCTTGCCCTGTGAGGAGGTCTTAAGCCGCAGGCTCTGATAACCTCCAGCCTGACCGCAGGGATCCTTAGACAGCCAGGCACCTGGGGATCCCGAAAGGAGCTGCTCTGGATGCAGGCTTCCAAACATGGCCAGCAGCCCCCACATCAGGCCCACCCCAAATTCTGGTTGGATGTGCTGACTTCTGCTGAATCCTAATCACCAGAGACGAGGCCCAGGAACTACATTTTTAACAAGCTCCTTGGGTCATTCTTAGGCATATTTAGTCAAGTGATAATCAGGGTCATCTTCAAGGTAGCTCCCAGGTAGCGATGTGACTTCAGGGAGCAGAAATAACCCTTCTCTCGGAAGATGCCACTCTGTTCCTCACTTGGTCCCCAAATGCCCTTAAACGGGGCTTCCCTTTATGCTTAGCAATTAAAGAAACAATGTCAAGCAAAAACTCACACCTGAGACTCACACACGTGTGGGCAATTCACCCAGGCATCTGGTGACCTGGAGTCAACCCTCCTGCCAGCAGACAGCAGGGGTGTGCTGCCACCAAGGGCAGAAAAGGGGCAGGGGGAGCACTGACATTTACTGAGTCCCATCAGTGAGGTCCGCAGCTGGCTTCCCCCACCAGGAGGTTTGTGACAGTCGTCAAACACAGCCATTGCTAAAATTTAAATTATATAAACTTACAATGAAATAAATTGTAAACAAAGGTAATAAATAGTCAAAACTTGTCAACTTCCTGACATCATTTTACTACATGTCACAATTACCTGTGCTCTTGTGGTTCTTTACCTCTGAGCAGCCGTCAGCAGGCTGTGCTGTGGCCTAGCATGCTGCTGTGACTCTTTCCCAAATTCACACGCAACTGCGTCACGGTGGTAGCTTGAAGAAGGCTATGGTGGAGGTATCTGCACCATGAAAGTCAGCGAACATTACATATCGTGGCTCTATGTATTGCTTTGTTGAGGGTTAGAGTTACGAAAGTGATGGAGAAAAGGCTAATGATGCAGATGAAACCCGTGTGCTGCGTCCCTTACTGTTCCGTCATGAATAATCACGAAGAATTAAGAAAGTATTCTCCCAGAACGGGAAAAACATGATCTATTTGAGCAAAATCTCTCCCATCACTGAACAAGTGAAGTTCAGATGTACATTTGTTGCTTCTCATGGGTTCTACTCTTTAAAGTCAATGAAAAGGTCAAACATTCCCTTTGGAACTAGCCTTATGTGTCAGTAGGAACCAGAAGGTTGCTGCTAAGTGTAGCAAAAATCCCAGAAATTTGGGAAGAACCAGTTGGCCACCTGGAATTTAGAGCACTGTGTATCTTATTTGTAAAATTGTGTGCTATGCTTCTTTCATTTCAGTATTTATAAATTTATGTATATATGTTTGCATACATTTTTTCCTGAAGAGGCAACCGTTAAACATTTACTGGCCACGACTGCTCTTAGAACATACAAAAATGAAGATACGTCAGAACAGAATGAAGCTTTAAAGCTGTGTGATGAGCATCTTCTTTCGATCCCGCCATTGTCTGTCTAAACCCAGTGGCAGAGAATGTCAGAAGTTGCTATTTGAGGCCCCTGGGGAGTGTTGAATAGAAGGCTCTGAGCAAAGCCAACCTTGTCCAGGCCCCGGTCCCATGGTTTCACACAATCACGTGACAGAATCAGACACTCTGTAGCCTGGGGTTCAGCGAAGTGCAGCAGATATGCCAGGCAACAGGGGCTGTCAGGCTCCGCAGGTGTGCGACTCAGTTCTATTTTTTCCTAACCCCCCTTTACAGAACCTTCCAGTTTCCTTGGGGTATGGTCTTAGTGGTGAGGTGGTGGCGACCAGAAGTCAGGGCACTTGGCGTGACTGGATTTCATGGGTCTGTTTTCCCAAGGCTCTTTCTTTCCAACCCTTGTGCACCATATGCTTTCCAAGAATGTGGTGCCAACTAGCTAATTTTGCTAGGAGATATATGGACCCCCCTGAGCTCACCTATTCTTCCCTGGTCATTCTAGAAGGGAACACCCAAGCCCAGAGAGGGCAAGAGTCTGCCCCAGACTCCACAGCAAGTTGATGGCCGAGCCAGCCCCACAACCTTGGTGCCTGCTCACAGACTAAGTGGGCTTTCCACTCTCCTGCCCCACCCGCCCTCCATGCTCTTCTGGCCCAAACCCTGGCCAGCTTGTGGCCAAAGGAGAGGGAGAGGTGGGGCTTGGGAATGCACACTCTCTCCTTACCCCCACCCCCGCCCCACCGGGCTTGGAGCAGGGCCACTCCTCAGCTCCAGCACAGCCTGGTTACCTGCTCCTATCACCACGGCGTCGTACTCAGGCTTTAGGCGTCCCCTGGCTTCCCAGTGAGCTTGTCTCCAAGCAGGGAAAAGAGAGGCACCTACAGCCCAGCTGAGTCCTAGGCCTCTTGCAGCCATTTCTGCCCAGCACTAGGCCAGGAATCTGCTTACAATCAGCTTTCTGTGCTGCCTGGGCAGGGGGAGGGGCAGGGAGAGAACAGGAAGAGAGGAGGAGCTGCAGTCCAGCTGCTGCACTTGGCTTTGGGCCATGACTCCGCAGAGAACACGCAGCCTGCAGAGTCCACACAGGGAAGTCTCCAGAGGTCACCCGTTCACCGGGCTGAAGTCAGGCCACCTCCAGAACATAGAGCAGCCACTGCATCAGTAAATCTAGAGCCCCCGTGCGCTAGGTGCTGTGCTGACCACAGTCCCCAGCCTCTCACAGAAACCCCAGAACCCCCATTTTATGGACCAGGGCCAGTGAGGCTCGGAGAAGGAACGGGGAGGTCATGCAGGGAGTGTGCTGGTGGGGCCCCCTCCTGGGCAGTGTCCTGCTTCTCATTAAGAGGATTTTCTGGGGAGCAAGTCCCGAGGAGAGGGTCAGACTTCTCTAGCGTCCTAGCCTTCCGCCTGCCGGATGGTGAGGGGCTCTGCACCCACCACAGGCCCAGGCAACCCCGCAGGGTCTCCCTGACCCCCAGACAGCTGCGTGTTCCCTCCCAGACACTTGAGCACCCTGCGCTCAACAGGCTGCCTCAGAAGCTTGTGAGGGACGAGGGTTTGCCTTTTTCTTTTTAAAGGCCTGGACTTCCCTCTTCTGTCTTTTGGCACCTTTCCCATTTCCCCAGAATCCTTAAGGATTAAAGATCACATCTGCACCCTTTCTTGCTATCCTTGGGCCTGCCTTGAATTAGGAGCTCCTTTGTTCTCTGCCCATTAGCTAGCAGGCCATTGCTCTTGTAGGAAGAAAGCACCCTAGGAGTGGAGCTAGGACATCTGTCAGGATTCTAGAAACCCGCTATTAGAAATGCATCTTAAAATTGGGAGAATATGTGGAGAAGGCGCGTGTGAGTAGGAGAGCTTTCTGTGGAACCTTCTACTTGTGACTGAGATACCCTGACATGCCAGGTTTACACTGAGTGTGAATCTCCACTGAAATCTGATGCAGGATGTCCACCCCACTGTGACAATATCGAAAAATTCAGGGGACTGGTTAAACTAGATGTGTCATATTATGTAGCTGCCCAAAATTAAGGAAAAGTATCAGGTGACAAAAGTGGGTACCCTAAACAGCAGTGGGCTTCTAGACTTCGTTTTTCCCTTTGTGCTCTTCTGAGTTTTCCACAATCGAGGTCTGACATTTCCATTCCTTAAGTCAAGATATCAAAAAGGAATGCAGTCCCAGTCACCTCAGGTGACAATGTCCCTCACTGCCACCTTCTGAGGATGTTAGTGTGAGGTGTCGTTCTAGCTCTTTCAGTACCTCTGTTCTCCCACCAGGCCTCCGCCTCCACCAGCTATTCCCTTAACAGAGAAGAACGGTCTTCTCTGAATGAATCTGGCTCAAGACTGGAGACACGGTCAGTGTGTCATGTACAGGGCCTGGGTGCTTCTGGCATGGCACTTCTCTCGTCCCCGCAGCAGACGCTCCCCAGTCCCAGTTCCCCGGGCCATCTCTTGTTCTTGTGTGTGTCCTGGGCTGGGGGCTTCCAGGTTAGAGGAGAGGGGCTGTGCCCCTCGGGCCATGGTTCTCCACCCGGGGCACACAGGGGTCAGCTGGGATGTTTTTATTTATTTTTTATTTTTTTTATTGTTTTATTTATTTCTGAGAGAGAGAGAGAGAGAGAGAGAGAGTGTGAGCAGGGGAGGGTCAGAAAGAGAGGGAGATACAGAATCTGAAACAGGCTCCAGGCTCTGAGCCTGCAGTTAGCACAGAGCCCGACGCGGGGCTCGAACCCACGAACCGTGAGATCATGACCTGAGCCGAAGTGAGACGCTTAACCGACTGAGCCACCCAGGTGCCACAGCTGGGATGTTTTTAAAAACCTATGCCTGGGATCCACGGGCCCAAGTGGTGCAAATCTCTGAGCGGGGCCTGGGCAAGAGTTGAGACGGAGCAGGATGCGAAGGGGCCAGGACGCCTGGGCAACAAGGACAGCCCGGGAGCCCAGGCATATTTGGCTTGAACCGCCACCACCAGCATTTATTGAGCACCCGCTGCGTGTCCCGCAGCCCTCACAGCTGCCCTGAGAGGCAGGGGCTGTTGGTGGAGGAAACCTGCCCAGGGCTGCAGGGAGGAAGGGGCAGTGGGAATGGCAGCCAGGCTGAGGCGGCACCTTTCATGTGGGGAAGGAAACGACTTCCTGAGGAAGCTCTTTATCCATTCCGACAGTATGAGGGGGCGTCTTCAGACACCCGTAGGCACTGGGGACTTCCTGTCTCCTGGGGGTAGACAGTTCTAACCTCGCAGCCACTACTGTTTTAAGGAGACCAAGGGACCCTCTCTGTCCTCTCTCCTCCTCCAGAGACGATGATTTGGGGGTTTGTTACCCTGGAGGGGAGAGGGATTTAAGAGACTCCGGGGACTGTCCTAGGTGAGTGCTATGCGAGGGGACCGGGTGCACACACAGACTGCACCAGAGCGCTGCGGCCTGGCCTAGAGCAAGGGGACGCGGGAGGTCTCCCACAGGCGCCGGGCCAGCTCGCCGGCCTGCTGCACCAGCACGTCTGTGGGGATGACCGACAGGTGGAGGGCCAGCAGCTCGTGGCACTTGACCGCCTCAGCGGGATGGCCCTTGCTATAGTAGCGCAGGAGCTTCCTGGAAGAAGAAGGGGGACAGGACTCAGGAACGAGGCTGCGGCAGCCCCCTTGCCCAGCACAGGCACTGTCACCCCATGAGGCCCCAGCACCTGGCCGGCAGAGCCTTCCCGCTCCCCGCTGACCTAACTGCAGGAGGATCAGCCCCCACCACAGGCTCCACCCCCTAGGGTTCCTAATCCCGTGCAGGGCTGCTGATGGCAGTGCCCAGGCTAAGGGATGCCACAGAGCCAGCGGGGGAGCCCGTGGGCCCCAGCACAGATGCTGGCAAATGCTGCCAGGAGTGTGGCAACCGGAAGAGGGGCAGAAACCTGGGTGTGCTTCACGCCCACCCCTCGCACTGAACACGGGGCTGGGCAGGAAGGAGCTTCTTGGGGGGCATTCCTGAAGGAGGAGCTGCTCCTCTGGGGAGGAGTGGCACTTATCTGGGCACCCACTGTTCCCAACAGTCTTGTGAACTGGGGTCACCTGTAGTAGTCTCCTCCCAGCACGCCGACGGAGGCCGAGTCATCCGAGAGGACGGGCACTTCTATTATCTGGAGTTTGTACCCCTGAGGAGGAGGAAGAAGGTGAATGGGGAGGAGCCCTGTTTGCTGAGTGCTTGCTGTTTGGACCTCCTTTTGCCTCATTTTCTACCCGCTGGGCAGCCACTGTGTATGGGTCGTGGTCACGGGGTTCCTCCCGATGCTCAGTGTGGGGCCCATCCTGTGGGTGAAGTGCACTCGGCATATTAAGCAGCTGCCCAAGAGGGCACAGGTGCAGGCAGGCAGCCCCCGCAGCCAGCTCTGCACACACACCCCCGCCCCCAGTTCTACTTCAGTCTGTCACTCTGTCAGCCACACACACAAAGCCCTGTCTCTCCTCAAAACTCAGGTAAAGGTCATCCTGGGCATGGAGTGCAAAGAGGAGCCTGCAGGTCAGGAGAGCTGAGTCTGGGCTCTGGCTTCATCATTTATGATCCTGGCTCTGGCCATGGAGTTTGATCTCCAGGCACCAGTGTCTCTATCTGTAAAATGGGGCCAGTGATACCCACCCCCAACCATGGGCCAGGCTGGGAGGACGTGAGGTTGCCAGAACAGTGGTGAGGGATCCAGTAAGCACCCTGCACTCCAGAAAGTGCTGGCCATCGCTCTCAGGCCTAAAGGAATGACCCTGAGAGAGCTGGAACACAAAACAGAGAAACAGGGAAGAGAGAAGAGGGAAAGAGAGAGAGACAACAAGCTTCCATGTCCTGTGCTTACACTGTAGAAACAGTGAGTCTAGAGAAATATGGGACCAGGAGGCCATACTGTCATCTCCACATTGGGCAGGTTGCTTCACTGCTTTGAGCCTCAGTTTATCTGCCTCCACCTTGGGAATGACAGTGTGCCATGCTTCGTTAAGTGTGGTTGTCAGCATGGAAGCACACCTGTGTGGCCCTTCTCAAGGGGACGCATCCATTTGGCCACATGTTACCTGGACTCTGCCATGCATGACAGCCTGAGATTTTCAGACAGCTGGTGGAGGGCTCACAAAGCACACATGAAAATGAGACCTCTGAGATCTGGGTCCCAAAGGCTGTGCTTACCTCTCAGTCTCACTAGGGACGAAAATTGATGAAGAGACAAGACGGACTGAACAGAGAGCAAAAGAAGAGTATCAGAGTCAGCAGAGAGGAGAGCATTTCAGGATGGCCCTGAATGGAGCCTGGCCACACCCCCCAGGACTGCCCGGCCTCCCCAGGCCTGGCCACACTCACCATCTCGTTCTCGAACCACAGGAAGTAGGAGCAGCAGAAATCTCCCTCTCGGAAGAGCAGCGTGGTGTAGCCTTTCTGCAGGTATCTGCGTGCCAGGCGGATCAGAGACCAGACCTAGGGAGACAGGGAGAGTGTTCGAAGCTGCCTTTGGCCTGTGGGGCCAGGCCCCTCCTGACAGTAGGGCCAGGGCTCACTCAGGCCTTGGCCTCTGGAAGAAAAGCACTCAGAGAAGGAGCTCCAGGTAGGCCAGGGGCTGCTCCTGCTCCCCCTTTTCCTTAGTGTCCAGGCATGGCCTGAGTCAGAGCGGGAGCTCAAAAATAAATCATGGATGGATGGATGGATGGATGGATGAATGGACCAGAACGGATTACCCCTCCAGGTACTGTGACAATAAAACATACATAAAAACACTTGAGGTAAGTTTATACAGAAGCCATAGAGTAGTAAACTGATCATTCACCCCCCAAAATTGCCGAAGGGCACTGTCCAGGCCACCCACTCACCCGGTCCCCTCCAGGGCCCGCATCTCTAGCATAGGTTCTGTGCCAGGAAGGTGCTGGTGAATTGTTGGAACACATTGAGTGTCCTGAGTCAGGCATGTCCTCTGTTTCAGGAGTGAAGGCCCAACTAGGACTCATCAAGGGGCTCAACAGAAATACAGTGATCGGGTGACAACGTGAGTTACATCCCGTGGGCGATATTCTCATTCAAGGACTTCCTATGCTTCCTGTGAACTGCCTGAGGGAGGGCAGCAGGATGGCCTGGTTTCCCCATTTCCCAGGGCTGGAAAAGGCCTGCCGAGCTCTCTCACCAAAATGCTTAGCGGAAGGCACACATGATTCACTGCAAGCCTGACCACAGCATAGTGTCTAACTACATCTGCAAACAAATACATGGATATCCTGTATTTTTCAGGAAAGCAATTTGACAACATGTATCTATAACCTTAAAAACATTCCTCTCATTTGCCTTAGTAATTCCATTTCTGGGAATCCATGTTGAGAAAAGAATCAGAGATGAGGACAAAGATGGATGCACGAAGGTGTGTACTGCAGAATTATTTATGACCGCGAGGGCCTGGAAACAATCTAAATGTTCATCGTTGGGGAAATGGCTAATGAAATTATGTTACATTCACATGATGGACTATTGTGGACTTGTTAAAAATCATGTTTATAAAGAATTAATGACATGAGGAAATGCATCAGATAGAAAGCCAAGTGAACATGTGGGTAAACACACTGTATATATGGAATATGCAATTACAACCAAGGACAACGAGCTGCGCAGAAAAACAATGGAAAGAAATGCAGCAAGAGAACTCCAACAACTTCCGGAAAGATGGGTGAAGAGGATGGTTCTGGAAAACACTCAATGAATTCTGTCCTTTGTGCCACGTACTGTGCTAAGCATTCAACATGCAGCACTTCACGCATCTGTAATCTCTGCAACTCCAGGACGTCAGTGGTTATCACTAGCCTCCTTTATGGATGAGGAAACAGAACCTCAGACTAAGTAATACCCCGGGCCACACAGCCAGGGAAAGGCAGAGCCGGCACAGGCCTTCTGTCGCCTGTCGTCCTCTTTATTTTAACCATCCGCATATACTTTATTGAGACAACTTTGTCTAACATGTTTACATACTATGCTACACACTATATATATAGTATATAAATATATCTATACCAGTTTGCTATGAAACAGTTAAAAAGAATGAACACAATAACCCCTAGGGAATGTTTCTTTAGTACAAACCACCTGCTGTTAAATCTGGTCTCCAAATTGACTGACCTTGTGTCTCTTTCTCCCCTGTGAGTTAATTCAACAAACACTTACTGGGATTTATTTAAGCCAAGCACAATGTTAGGTCCTGGCCGTTTTGCCCTTTGAACCCACTGCCCAGATGTGCTTATGCAGCGTATTAGAACGCACCCAGGGAGGTGCCCACGTGGCCCCGAGTGCCAGGGCCCTAGAGTGATGAAGACCAGCCACCAGCCTTAGGAAGCCACAGCAGCCGGGGACAAATGCTGACAGAAGAGTAGAGGGAGGGTTAAGGCGGGTTGTTCTCAGGGCCTCACAGGAGCCCCAAGAGTGGGGCATCAGTCCTTCCTGAGCAGGGGGCAGGCCGCACATCTCGTCTCACAGGGGTGAAGAGTGCCGGGGCCGCACATGCTTACCTTGGTTCGGATGAAGGCGGCCAGCGGCCCCCGGCCCAGCTCCGATGAAGTCCTTTTACTGCTGCTGAGGGAAGGGGCCACCATCTGGCCGGTCGTGCGGTCCACATAGATGAAATGCACCAAGCCTGGGAAGTCTTCTAGGTAGGTGAAGGTCAGAGTTAAGGTGCTCGTAAAGCCAGGGACCAGGGAAGGCGCCACTCTGTCCTCCACCTAGGCTACTAGCAAGGCTAAGCAGAGGAGTCAGGAGACCAGGCCCACCAAGCCCACCTCTCCCCACAGGTTGCCCTGTCAGCCAACGCCCGAGCGTCCCTGTTTTCCTGGATCTCTTTACCTCTGAGTCCCCCAATGCTGAGAAATTCTAGGATGCAAGTTAACATGGATCCCTTGATACTAGCACACTTAATGCAGGGAATTCTGGGCTAAGAGCAATAGGGCAGGTTCACTATTTTATCATTTTCATGAGGGATGAGCTTAAATCCTGCACACGGTGAGGCTGGTGTGGGAGCAGAGCTGCCTAGCGAATGAAGGAGCCTAGCTGACTGTGCAACCCGCACAGCTTGGCATGGTTTTGTTCCACTCCACGCATCACCTTGTGAAGCTGGAAGGTTCCCACTGGATAGGGGAGCAGCCAACACGGCAGGCTGCTGGCTGGCGGCTACAGAGGGCCTCTGTCATCCCTTTCACCCGCATACCGCAGGCAAGAGTCTTGGGAGATTGAAGGCCTAATACTTTAGAGATCTTAATATACGAAAAGCTGCTTTATATAAAGTTCCAGGGAAAATTAGTAGTTGATAAAACTAGTGTTCCAGAATAAAAGGGTCAAAGAGGTCTTGCACATGGTTTTTTAAACAAGGATAAATATATTTGGTGCAGGCCTCCTCAGAGCCTTCATGTCCCACTGTGTACTGTGACTTCTAAGGCAGACGTGGCTTCTCACACCTCCCTGAGCCCAGGACCCCTGCCCCTCCTGGAACACCCGCTACCACTTCGCGGGCTGGACAACATCGACATAAACACCCTCCACATCTTTTAGGAAGTAACAACTGTGGGACTGCAAGGATTTGTGAAATTTCAGCCTTGGAGCGTTCCTACAGACAAGACACCCACAACAGCATCTATTATTTTTCTTCGGAGAAGCTGAGGTGGTGGAATGTATATGCTCCTTCTAGAAAGCCCGCAGTCCTTCAGAGTGGCGGGTGGCGGGGCCGGGCAGACGTGAGGGGCTTCCTGGGGCTCGGGCACCAGGATATGACACCATGGTGACGTTCCTCCTGCTCTTCACCAGCAGAAAGTCCTTCCAGTCCGTCAGCTTCTCTCTGCCGAGGAAGCAGGGAGGCAGGGTGTGGGGTGGGGCCCCAGCTCCCACTCTGGCGACCCAGGCGCCACGCCCGCACTTACTGCATGAGTGTCTGGACCTGGTCCTGCAGCTGCCGGGGCAGATGCGGGCCTCCCCGGTCTGGAGCTGACGTCAGGAAGCTGAGACGGTAGATGGCGCAAAGCTGCCGTTTCACCTTGCCACACGCCTGAAGCAGCCTGGGCGCGGGGAGAGGAGAGCATGACAGCGCGAAGGGACCTGGAGGGTGGGCTGTTCACAGGTGCGCCAAGGACACACACCCAGGACCGCCCTTCATCCCAGGAGTCGCCCCTCTCCTGACCGGCGACAGACACAGCTGCTGAAGGACACCTTTGTCCTCAGAGAGACAGGGGCGGCTCCCTGGTTTCCCCCAGTGTGGTGCCTGCCTGTGTACTTGGATTGAAGCTCCTAGAATCTCTTCCCCCACCTCCCCCTACCCCCAGTTTATCTTATCAAGAAACGAGGGAAGTGTGCCCTTCAGTGCTGAGCCGGGCATGAAGCTGAGCCTCCTGTCCCTTGTGACCGGCTCTCGCCTCCACCCGTGGCTCCTCTGCTTCCCAGCCTCCCCCAGCGTCCAGGACTAGACTCCACTGTCCTGGGGCCCCCTCAGGGGGCCCTCATACACCCCTTCCTGAGCATCCTCTCCCTCTTGGCCTGGAGGAAACCGCCCCTCTCTGTCCAAATGACTCCCCCCATCTCTCAGAGGCCCCCACTCACTCCCAGGACGATCCGGGGTCGCTCCTGGAGAAGGCCTTGCTCTTGAACTCCAGCCAGGTGCTCTGAAGGACAGAGGACAGATGGGCTTCCTGATGATGTTCCCACAGTGTGGTCCAGGGGAGACCCTTGTGATGTTGGGCTCGGAGGGGGACTCATGCTTCCTGACAACCCTGATATTTAGGCTCAGTGCACATCTGCCTTCATACAGAGCTGGCTCTCCAGCAGCCCCCCCCACCCCAGCTCTCTGCACCCCATATACGCCATTCTATTCACTCAGCGGGCACTTCTTTCAAGAGCAGTATCTGTGTGGCAGGCACTGGGCTCACTGTCTAGCTGGTACAGACATGTAAAGTAATCTGTCAGAGTGCCAGGTGACTGCCCCAAAGAGGAGCAGCCACAGGGCAGGCGCTGAGGTGGCGCACTCCTTAAAGGGGGACTGCGCATTCTAACCCAGCACTGAGATGGCCCGCAGCACGGTGAGATGCCGGGCGGACTCCTCAGAGTGGAACCGGGTCTGTCTGGGCCTGGGCTCCACTCCCTTGCTCGGCCTCCTCAGATCCTTCTTCTCATTTTCAGACCCATGTGCACTGCAGCCACAGCACATCTCAGGTCCTCAGACAGATCCAAGTACCACCAGCTGCGTCCCCTGGGTGGTCCCCCCTCCTGATTCTTCTAGGCTTCCGGTGGTGTAGCCTGTGCTGTTGCTACTGCTTAGCGTTGCTAGGCCTCATCTCCGACCTGGGCTCTCAGCCCCTGGGGGACGGGTAGGCTGTGTCCTGCATTTCTGTGTGAGCTGCCACCCTGGGAGGGGTGCCCGGGGCAGGTGGCCGGCCCTCACGGCGTCCTAAGGCCAGGCTCTGGTCCCACCAGCTGAGTAATCTCAGTTTCCTCTACGTCACGGGAATTAGAATTTGCGTTCTGCCAAACTCACGTGAAAATGCACTGAAAGTGCTGCTGTAAGCTTCTGTTGTCATTTCATACTGGGGGAGACGAGGGTCGCACGCCTACGGTGGGGCACGGCTCCCAGGTGGGACCTACAGGCTCCTGGAGGCCCTGCCTTCTCTCCCAGAGACTGGCATGTCTGGCCATCGGCTCTCACCTGAATCTCTTGCCCCCCGCGATTCTTGACAAACTTGTCCATCCTCTGGCGCAGGTCCCCCATGAGGGGGTGGGACCGCAGGGTGCTCCCGGCCTCCTGTCCCTCCTTCAGCCTCTTCTCCAGGAGGGAAAACCCATCCAGCAGCTGGTACAGGACCAGGGCCAGGGGGGTGCTGGGGCACTGGGGGAAGGAGCACAGGGCAGGATGAGTGGGGCAGCCTGTGGGGAGGGCGCCCAGGCCAAGGCGTTGCCGAGGCAGGTGGGGGTTGCTCATGCCTTGGTCAGGAGCACCATGTTGATGCCCGGCCACAGGGGCAGGCAGTACATGGTGTGGGGCACCATGGGGCAGTAGCTCTCCTTCACGCCGGCATCCAGGAAAATCCTTCTGGGGCTGGAAGGGACTGGGGAGTGAGGGACCAGGGTCTGGAGGCTGTCTTCAGCGATCTGTGGAGAAGAAGAGCTCTCAGCGGTAGGGTTGCTGCCCGGCCTCTGCCTACGTCCCCACCCAGGGCTGCCCATTCGCTGCTCTCCCAGTGAACCACGGGGTAATGATGTCAGCACCAGGAAATCCAGTCCTTAAAAGTTCTGGCGCTCTGTTACAGTGGTCCCAGCAGCTCCAGGACCACTGCTGTCTGCCTCCCTGTTTCTTCTGAGCCTTCCTGCCCAGAGGCAGGACTGGAGCGCAAGCAGGGGCTGTGGGCAACAGGATCCGGGACAGGTGGTAAAAGAGAGGCTGAAAAGGCAGGCAAAACGGGGTGGGGGAGCTCCCTCTCAAGCCTTCACTCTGACAAAGGCATTTCAATACCGCTGTCATTCTACCCACCCTCAGAGCCTCTGTCGGCCAGTACCATGGAGGAAACTGAGGCATGGACAGGCTAAATGAGCAAGACTCCAGCCTTACTAACTGAGCAAGAAAGCCTTTAGTGGGAAAAAGCAGAACCCTGAGGAGATCACCAGAGACGCCACAAGACGTTCTCGGTCAGGACGGCACTGAGGGCTCAGTCGTAACAGCAAATAACTAGAAACAACACACTAGCTGTTCTGGGGCTCTGCTAAATATGCAGCACAGATGTGTGATGGACTGCTGTTGTTTTTTTAAGTTTATTTATTTATCTGGAGAGAGACAGACAGAATGGGGGAGGGGCAGAGAAAGAGAAGGGGGGAGAGAGAATCCCAAGGAGGCTCTGCACTGTCAGCACAGAGCCCGACATGGGGCTCGAGCTCACAAACCGTGAGATCACGACCTGAGCTGAAGTCAGACGCTTAACTGACTGAGCCACCCAGACACCCCGGCATGTGATGGACTCTTAAACAATCCTTGAAAACCAGTGCCGCATAAATGGAAAAACGCTTAAGGAAAAAAGTGTAATGAAGGCCATTAGGATTCAGATTTGGTAAGTGAAAAAAAAATACATGCAGCGTGTAAGTACACATACAAACATACATGCATATACATAAAATCACAGGGAAGACTAGAAGGAAACACCTCAAAATCTTAATGGTAGTTAATATCTGGGGGAAGGATTCAGAGTATTTTTATTCCTTTTCCATACTTTTGTATTTCCCAATTTTTCTACAATGAATATATTTACTATCTAATTTTTAAAAAGTATTACAATTCAAGATGGACTTTCACTCCCAACAAACGTGAGGACGGTGGGATTTCTCAGGAGCTGAGGTCACCCTTTGCCCAGCGCCTGTCTGGCCCCTGGCTCTGGGAGGAGCTCTGTCCCCCGCACTGCTCAGCCAGGAGGTGACAGGAGGCAGGCCGGCCCTGTGGGAGTTGCCGGGAGGAGAACCTGAGTCCCCGGTGCTCCATGGAGCCTCCCCCCACCCGCTGCTCCAGGAGAAACTCACCTGGATCTGGGGCTCATCGGTGGGTGGGGTGCCTCCATCCAGCCACACAGTGCTGCCTATAGGACACAGATAATAACATAACATGAGTAACATGAAAATGTGAATGATGGCCCAACAGCATGTGAGGAGGGGAAGATCGGGTGGAGTACCTAGCAGGGTCAAGAGCACTTAGTATGAACACTTAGTATGGACCCCAAGCCAGAAGTGCAGGGTGAACTCTGCAGTCCAGGACTAAAGCAGTTGGGGAAGAGAAAGCTCACCCCAGGGCCGGCTGTTGAGTCCAAGCTCCTGAGGATGGACCTGGCAATTGTTCCTCAGCAACCCCCGCTCCCAACGTGGTCCCCTTAATCCCCTCCTCCAATCCACCCTCTGGCCTCCTTCAGGTCTCTATCACAGTGCCTCCCCACTAGGAGGTGGCAGTCACGTTGCCCCAGTTATTCAATCAGCAAACTCGGAGCACCTACTACGTGCAGGGAAATGGGCTGGATTTCCTTTGCTAGTCTAGCTCACAGGAACTTACTGAACTCCCTACCTATCTGAAATATTACGTGTTTGTAATAATGCCGTTCTCCCTTATACTTCATTCCAAATAACAATCATCTATAATCGAGTTTCTCTAGGGAAGCCTGTTATAGTTTTTCGAACACCTGATTTACAAATGAGTGAGTGCAACTCCAGCCATTTGTAAGTGGTGAGTTCCAAGCACTTTGAAATGGCATTATTTACAGCTCTGAGGCATAAAAGCTAACCACTGAGAAAGAGGCCAGGAGGAGGGCTGTGATGAATGAGGGAAGGGAGCAGCAAGAAGAGAGGAGCTTCCGTGGTCGCCCCAGAGCAGTGTTTCTCAATGTGCTCTGGGCTCCTGGATTGCTCAGAGAGCTGAGGAAGCTACGGACCCTCAGAAATGCACAAGCTTGCAGGAGCTGATGCCCGATCTCTGGGGTCCCCGGCTCCTCGGCTCCCCGGCTCCCATCCAAGGACTTAAAGTTACAAATATCTAATCCACTAGTTTTCAACTGTGGCTGCACATGAGACCTTGGAAAAGTCCTGATGCCCAGGCCATGTCTCAGACCAATTCGGTCAGAATGTCTGCACCAGCAGGCTTTACAGATCCCGAGGTGAGCCCACTGTGCGGTGGGGCTGAGAACCACTGCTCTGCCCTGAATCTGTGCAGGGTGCTGGTTCCCACTCTGAGGCTCATTGGGGGAAACTTCTAGAAGTATTCACACCTAGGGCCCAGCCCATGGACTATATAGCTTAGCTGGTCTGGCTGAAGCTGCCTGCATGACTCTAATGTGCAGCCAGGGTTGAAAACTGGTGGCTTACGGGTACCACACAGTAAATTCCTTTCGAAACTCAGTCCCTGAGAAGTTTCTTCTCCTGAAACCCTGGCTTTTTTTCTATCAGATGAACCATATGATCCTTCCTTTTACCCAAGAAATTCACAGATAAATATGAGCTCATTCAGAGGAACTACAATAGTATGGATTTTGGCTTATCTGTTTTTTCTAAGCAATGTTGTTTCGTGTTTTTTTTTTTTCTGTTAGCAACATTTTGAATATTTTTTATTTTTTTATTGTTTACCCACCCACATACTCTGGGAAAAAAGTTAAGGTACAGAAACTGAATGTTTGTAATTTAAATCATCGAACTTGAAATCAAAGGACTATTAATTTTAGTTATTTACTAATTGATTACAAAAAAACAAAAGGCAGAGAATAAACCTCATGGGAGATGAATTTTTAAATGAAATCAACTTGCCACAAAAAGCTTTAGGGATCATTTAAAGGGCCGTCCTTGAATTCAGGCCAGAGCCAGCGCGGTGGACAGAGCAGGACGCGCAGGCAGCAGGGAGGGGCTCCAGGAATCTCTGCATTTGCCCCTTCGCCCTCACAAGGTGATGCCTGTGGGCCCCTCTTCCTCCTCCTCCCCAGGCCTCACCTGAGCTCTGCTCTCCAGGGGAAGGGGCCGGTGTGAAGTACTCCTCAGGGAGGGAGAAGCTGTCGGTGTCCTGGGGGATGGGAGGGGAAAAGGGTGTCTTGGGCTGAGGGCTGGGAGAGCCTCCCCCAGGGGGCTCAACCCCGGCCCCTCTCCCCTCCACAGGGTGGGTGCACCGCACACACGGTTGCCGTGGAACTCCTCCTGGTGGGCGCTGGGGAACCAGGGCTGCAGGCCTGCTGCACAGGGATGTTCTGGCTGCTCCGGGGCCTCCGTGGACAAGGCTGCTGTGGACAAGGCAAGGAAGCCTTAGTTAGAGCACCTAACTCTCCGCGCTCCTCCCCCATGGAGCCCAGCAGCACCTCAGGGCACAGCCCTCCAGCCCTGTGCATCCCCCACAAGGCAGCCGTGGATGTGCTCACTTTCCACAGAGGTTTCAATTCTAGGTGGGCTGATCTGTCTCCAGGACCACAGAAATTCCAGAAACCCCAACACACTGGCAATCAAACCACCACCAGGGTCACCACAGAGGATAATGGGGATGGCGGCAGCCGAGGGTGCTGGCTAGCACTTACCAAGCACCCCAGGCACTGCTGGGCAATAGGTAAACTGTCCCTTTACTCCTCCAAACCCTGTCCCATTGCACAGATGAGGGAATGAATCAAGGCTTAGAGCGGCAAGTACTCCAACAATCTGCACTTTTCACAGACTAAACGGCATTCTAGAGTTTCCATTACATCTGAAAGCAGCAGGAAGTCAAGCCCAACCCCAGGCCCAGTACTGTGACACCGAACCAGAGCCTCCCCAGGTCGCCTGCCCAGCCTGCTCTAGGCGGGGGTTGGAGCTGCCCAGAGAGCTGGGCCAAGACCTGAGGGTCGTCATCCTCCGCCGTGCTCTCACTGGGGTAGAGGTCCTGAACCAGAAGAATGAGGGCGAGGAGGTTGGCTGGCCGCAGGGAGCTGGCACTGGGGCTGCAGAGACAACAGGCAGCTGTCAGCACGTGCCTGGGCCCGCAGGGAGCAGTGCAGACAGGCAGGTTTAGGGCATCGGAGCGTGGTTCCTGACCTCAAGGAGTTTATGAACACGTAAGCTGACCGCATCCTTCTTGGAGAAAGGCAGCAAGGTACAAATAAAATTAACCAATTCATTCATTTTAAAAATAAAACTTGGTTGTGTTAAAGAAGAACTACCAACAAGATATCAGCAGGGACCAGTGACGGCATGTCAGGAAGTTCTGAAATTCTGATTCAGAGACGGTGTTCCAGGAAAACACAATTCGGAGAAGGGAATGAGCTGAGAAGGGTCACAAACTGAAGAACCCAAGGAGGCTTCATGGAAGAGGTGGGTCTCGAAGGTCTTCTTGGCTGGGGAGGTGGTGCTTTTCAGGTAGAGGGAATATGGGGCAAGGGGGCAGGCCTCTGGGTTAGTGCCCACGGGGACCAGGGCTCACCTGGAGTAGAAAGCCAGCAGCTTGCAGTGCACGAGCAGGAAGGCATGCAGGGCCTCCTCGCCGGCCCTCTCGGGGCTGGAGTTGACAGCCTGGATGACGTGCCGCTCCAGGGCCTCGATGCACAGCTCACAGAGATGGGGGTGAATCAGCCGCTCCACAGCCTGGCCACAGGTGGGCAGGGAAAGGAAACCACGTCACCGGCCACTCTCTCCTGCTCCAGGCTCCGGCTGGTGGGTACATTCGCTCAGTCCATGCTGCGTGTGTGCTCTGGGCCAGGCACTTGGGAACAGGGAGACTCACACCAGCACGGTCCCTGCCTTCCTGGGGTTTATGGTCTGGTCACTAGACTCCAGTGGATGAGACAGATACTATGCAACGGCACAGACAAGATTAATGCCAATTCTAGTAAGTGTAGTGTAGGAGACACATGGTACTGAACAGCAGAGACCTACCGGGTAGGGTATTCAAAGAAAATGTCTCTGCGGAAGGGACCTTTAAACTGGTATCTAAAGAACAAGAAATCCTATCAGAGAGAGTGGAGGGGGAGAATGCTACAAGCTGAGAAGAGCGTATGCAAAGGCCCTGAGGTGGGCAGAGAGTTTGGAACAGTGCTGTCCAACCAATATATAAGGCAAGTCCTATGCATAATTTACTATTTGCTAGTAATCTACATTAAAAAACTAAAAACAGGTGTAATTAACATTAGTAAGTTATTATACCGTTTTAACATATAAAAAAGCAATATTAATGGAGCATTTGACACTCTTTTTTTGTACTAAGTCATCAAAATCCAGTCTATATTCTACATGTAGAGCAGAACTCAATTTGGACTAGCTATGTTTCAAATGTTCAACAGCCAAATGTAGCTAATGACTGCTAGACAGCAGGAAATGTCAAGCAGTCTTGAAATGGAAAGAAGTCCCAGGGATCAGTCCCCAGTGAGCAAGACCAGGGAGGCACGAGATGAGGCTGGGGTGACATCCATGGAGGCAGATCCTGCTGGGCCTGGTAGGTTCAGGAAGGACTTTGGATTTTATCTTAAATGCATTAGGCTGGCTCCTACAACCAGCTCTTCCTGAGGTGACCGTGCCATCCTTCGTGCCACGCTGGATTCTGGTGGGAAACCCAGTATGGCACATCCAGAATGCTTTGTTAAATATTCAGGTATATGTGTCCGGCTCATTTCCTCTCAAGGGCAGGGACTGTGTCTTTATTCATCTCTATTCCTAGGGCCTGGCACACCTCTTAGCATACAGTGGGTCCTATACATTTATCAGAAGAGTAAGCGGGGCGTGAAAATGAACCCTTCAGATCTATTTTCCAGTTCACTAATTCTCTTTCTAGTTATGTCTCATCTACTACTTAACCCATCCCTTGAGGGTTTTATTTTAATAATTATGTTTTCATTTCTAAAATATCTGTATGGGCTCTCTTCTAGCTTTTATGTCTTTAAATATTTCACAGTTATTTTATATTCTGTACCTAACAATACCAAGATATCAAGCTCCTTGGGATCTAAATCTACAGGTGATTGATTTTCCTCTCACTCGTGGTGGCTCATTGCTTTGTGCATCTGACTGTTAATTGTGAGCTCATATACATTCACTCTTAACCTGTCCTCTAAAGTAGTGATTTTCAAAGGGCAATTCCTGGACCAGCATAATCAGCGTCCCTGGTGAACCTGTCAGAAATGCAAATTCTAGAACCTCCACCCCACCCCCCATGAGAAAAGTGAGGCCCAGTAACCCCTATCTCTCAAGCTCTCTAGAGGATTCGGATGAGCACTGGAGTGTGAGAACCGCCACTCTGGAGAGAATTGTGTTTGTCTCTGCACAGAGTCTACTGGCAGTGATCCCCTGAGCTCCTCAGGTCCGGGCTTGACCAGAGACCCTAAGGCTCAGCCCCCCATGCTGCTGGCCTAAGTTAGACTTCCGGTCGTGGTATTATTGCCATCTGCACTCAGGCAGTCTTGCCCCTACTGCTACTTAGTTTTCACTGCTTTCCACTCCAGTTTCAGCTCAGTAGAAATTTTTGGGGTGAGGGGATGGTCAGAGTTGAGGGGACCCCCAGAATTTCCACAACTTACTGTGAGCCCAGAACGACATCAAGTCCATTGTATCTAGGATCTCACGGTTTTATGGCAGGAAACCCCATCAGAGTGTCCAACCCACCAGGTGGCCACAAAGAGTAACTTTCTAAATGCACGAGGTTGAGGGTCTGCCTATGACCTCACTCATGACGGGGATGTGTGTGTCAAAACGTGGCCCGAGAGCTACGCAGCCCTCTGACCTGACACTCCTGGGGCCTGAGGACTCCCGTGCCCAGTAGTCACCTCCACAGCAAAGCACTGCTCCTGCTCCCGCAGGCGGCCGTAGGTCCGCAGCAGGCTCTGGAAGTGCTGCCACACTTGCATGCGCCGCTCAACGTCTGGGGGCCGCAGCCTGGGGGCAGAGCAGAAAAGACCGTGAGAATGCTGCTCGTCCCCACCTTCGACCAAAAGAGCACAGTCCTAGATTACGGTCAGGGCTGGGCGAGCTCACGCGATGTGAACACTAAGTGGGAGGGCCCTCCAAGCACAGAAGGGCCGAGTCCAGGCTGTGTCTGAGCCGCGGAGTGGGATGGGCAAGGAACCAGGAGCCAGGCGCCCGAGCAAATCACTTTACTTCTCAGCTTCCTTCATACACAGACATATGACATGAAGCCAGCCTGAGAGACGTGGGAAGGTACCGGGAAGGAGCCAGGGGCAGAGTGTAAATGGCCAGTTTCACAGAGGCTGGACACACCCTGCAAAGCCTAGAGAGGGAGCTTAGCAAAGGATCTAGAGGGGACCACCACGAGGACTCACTCCTTTCGGATGAGCTGGCCATCCACAGTGACCAGCCCGAAGTGCACCTCAAACAGGTACTTGAGCACACACAGCTTCTGCCGCAGGTCGCCCTCGCTTTCCGTGTGGTCTCCGTTGATGGCAAAGAACAGGCATTCTCCAAACTGTAGGCAGAGGGGGCTGATGTCAGTCAGCCCCAGGGGACCCCTCCCTTGTCCTGATCCCTGAGGACAGTGAGGGTAGGCTTAGGTTCCAGGGGATTTCAATAAGGCGCAGTTTCTGCCTTCTAAAGGAGTCTAAAGTTCAAGATCAGGGAGAGGCATGTGGAGAGCCCACAGAACTGAGGGAAGAGGAACATGGGCCCCAGGCTACACACTCACCAGGTGAAGGACATACAGGTAGCTGCCATTTTCCGTCGAGAAGCAGGTGTATGTATCTGAGAGCTTCTCCAGCATCGTCATGGAGGAGATGATCACTGGGGCCAGCAGGGTGCTAAGCTGGTCCTCCAGGGCGGGAAGCTGCATGAGGGGAAGGAAGTCACACTGCTCAGAGTGCCTGACTGTGGGGACAGAGGCACAGACAAGACCCAGGCCTTGTAGCCTGGCCTCTGCTGTTCAGGCTCTGAATCTAGAAGGAAACACTAAGGAATTAGGCCACATCTCCACAGTGGAATGTTTGGGGCATTTAATGGGAGAACTGACCGACTCTAAGGAAGCTCTCCACATGTCCCAAAGTCCTTGCTTTCTGCTGGCAGTAAGTCTACATTGGGGAACGTATCCTAAGGAAAGTGATCAGGAATGGGGCAAAGATACACACACAAAGATGTTCACTACAGGGTCATTTACAGCAGTGAACACTATAAAAAACGTAAATGCCTCATAGCTGGGAAACAGTTAAATAAATGACAGACCGTCTAAATGATGGAAGAATATACAGCTCCGTAAAATACTGGAGTGTTTCAATGACGTGGAAAATTCCTCTGATACGATGTTATGTTAAAATAAAAAAGTGAACAGTCTATACTTTAAAATGCATAGAAAAAACAAAGTACTGAGAAAATATTAAGGCAACGCTGTTGAAGTTGTTTCTTCTAGCAGAGAGAGTATGAGTGGTTTGCCCCCTTTTTATGCTTCCAGACTTTCCCTATTTCTACTACAAGCCAACCTTTACTTCTACAAGGTCCTTCTTCAACCATTCTCTCTGCCCGGCAAAGAAGGAACAGAACAAATAAACAAAACTGAAGAGAAACTGGACAAGTTTGGTGACAATCTGCAACTACAACTGGCATAAAGCTGGCAGAATGGTCACCACTCAAACCGTCCACACTGGCATGACAAGAAGGGAGAAGAGCTGACCTTCCCCACGCTGATCTCCAGAGACCTGCCTGAATCACGGAGAAAGCCAAGTCCCAACTGTGAGCTTGCCAGAAAAATCTGCAAGGAGAGGAGTAAGACCTTGCCTTGAAAAGAAAAACAGGCAACCGGCCAGGGGCAAAGTACGGCACTGGCAACAGGGCCAAGACGCAGGACAGCGGTGGGTATTTTCTCCCAACTTTCTCAGCGTTCGGGAACTGAGCCGTGTTCAGGGGCTGCGGGAGTCTGTTAATCAGGCTTTAGCAGTGGTTCCTGCCCGTCACTTGGGCCCCAGCTCAGATGGCCCCTCTCCTGACCAGCTCAGGCCACCCTGCCCCATCGCTCCCTACCTCTCACTGTTTAACTTCTTCAGCCCATTTATCATTACCTGCACTCATGAGCTTATCTGCCACCCGGCTCACTGTCTAAACTCCCTCTCGTGGCCCGAAGTTCCATGAGAGCAGGACCATGTTGCTACGCTCACGGCTTCGCCCCTGGAGGCTGGAGCAGAGTAGGTTCTCAATTAATATTTGTTGAATGACTATCCCTCCACATAGGCAAATGTTTGTTAAATTATTCACATGCCACAATCTTCCTGGACTGTTATCAACAAATTACATTAATAGAAAGTCACTTAAAGATCCAGATTGTGTATACAGCCAACTCATTCTTAGAGCAGCAGCTTTTTCTGCAGGTGTAGCAAAGCAAGACTTTTTTTTTTTTTTTTTGGTTGGGGAAGATGAAAATATTTGGCTAGGCACAGTGTAAAGGAATTACTATTACTTGGAATTATAAAGTGGTACATTATTTTTGAATGGCTTCTGAATCAATGTTTCTTTTTATAGGAAATTATCCTAAGGAAATAATGAGATGTGGGATCAAATTCAGGCATAAATGTTCCCTACAGCAATAGCTTCAACAAACTAGAAGCCATATATATGTCCAGGATGGGGAAAATGGTTAAATAAATGATACATTTATTTATACACTAGAATATAATGCTTCCATTAAGATTTATGCTTTTGAGACTATTTAACAAAAAAGAATAATGGTTTAGATATAATGGCAAATGGAAAAAAACAGGAAACAAAACTGTAAATGTGGTATGATCCCAACTACATATAAAAGATAAAGACCCAAAGGAAATACATAGAAGAGCTAATAGCTCTGGTGCTAGAATTATGGATCATTTAAAAACGATTTCTCTGTATTTCCAAATTTCCTACAACTAATTCATGTTATTTATAGAATCAGGAAAAAATATGTGTTGTATACATAAAAAATAAAACTTCAAAGACAATTTTTTCTTCACATTTGTCATTTAGGAACTGAAAAATCAGGATTTTGTTCCTTTCCAAGGTTTTTAATAAAGAGGAAGATAAACACCAGCAGATAATTTGCTTCTTTTGTTTATTTTATGTATTCATTCATCTCTATACTGTGTGCCTTTATGTCAATATTATGGCAGGTTCTGGAAATATAGAGGTCTACTGATGGTTTGCTTCTTAAATTAACCTGAAATAGTATTATAGAACTAAAACATATAAAAAGTCTTTAAAAAAAACTGTATGTATTGACTGCTAAAAATAAAAGAGCCTAACAAATAAGACTTGCTTTTTAGCTTAAATAAAACCACTGAAACGACATGATCTCTGATATCTTTATTCTTAAAGACCCTGACAAGAGTATCGGTGATGTTGAAGTGGATTAACCTGATAAGGCGGAACTGCTTAGTGGGCGGTTAAGCCCAGCAGAGCAAGGAGGGGGCTGGCCAGCCACCAGCCAGTGCTGCTGCAGAAATGCAAGAACACTCTCTACTGCTTCCCCTGCAAGGATTTTTTAATACGAAATTCACCTGGAAAAAACTTTCAAGATAAATTACCCCTTTAAAACACAGAGTAGAGATTATACTGAAAATGAGAACTATCTCCAAGCTGTAATATTTCAGTGTTGCCCTGGACATCCATATGCAAAACAATAAACTTTAATCCATACTTGACATCATATCCAAAAATTCAAAATGGATCATCAGACCTAACATGAAGCCTAAAACGATACAACTTCCAGAAGAAAATAGAGAGACAACTCTGAGATCTTGGGTTGGGCAAAGATTGCTTAGATATGACACCAAAAACATGATCCCTAAAGGCAAAAAATGGATATGCTGAAGTTGTCAATATGAACACTTCCGGTTGTTGCAAAATATGGGTTAGTGGACGCAAAGACAACACACAGAGTGGAAGAAAATACTTCCAAAACCTAAACCTAATACAGGATTTGCATCCAAAGCATTTAATACTCTCAAAACTCAGAATAAGAAATAACCTACCCAAGAAAAAGATGGGCAAAATTGGAACCGATTACAGATGGCAAATAAACACATGAAGTGATGTCAAAATTATCAGTCAGTAGGACGTGAAAATTAACAGACAAGGAGATTCCAATGGATACCTACTAGAATGGCTCAAATGAAACAGAGTGACCACCGCCAAGTGTTAGAAGTGTCAGTGAGGATACGGAGGAAGTGGAGCTCTCAGACATGAGTAGTGGACTATGAAATGATACAACCCCTGTGGAAAAGTTTGGTAGTTTCTCAGAAAGTTTAATATATACCTACACGATCTAGCCATTGTGCCCTAGGTATTTACCCTTGAAAAGTGAAAGGCCATGTCCATACAAAGACCTGCATGTGAATGTCCACAGCTGCTTTATTTATAAGAGTCAAAACTGGACACAGTCACCATCCATAGGTACATGGGTATACAAACTGGCGCGCTGAGACGACAGACTACCTCCTGCTCAGCAACGACAAGGAATAAACTAGTGATAGATACAACATGGATGAATCTCCATATTATGCTGAGAGAAGCCAGATCGAAACCAAACCCAACCCCGAGAATATACTGCCTGATTTCATTTATATAAAAGCCTATAAAATACAAACGCATTTACTGTGACAGGAAGCACACTGGTGGTTGCCCAGGTTGGGGGAGATGAGGGAGGGGTCACGGACTTTTGAGATGGCGAGTATGTTTATTTTATTGATTGTGACAGAATCACAAGTGTGTGTGTATCTCAAACTGCACACTTTGTACACTATGCCAATTATACCTTAATATAGTTGTTTAAAAAATTGATGTGTTGAACTTATGCCAAACTTTTTAGGTAGAGAAAGTGAGGACACCAAATTCCTGTGTTGTGTGATTAAAATTCTACCTCCTCTTTCTCTTGCTCTCATGTAGCCCATTGCGTCCCGATGGAGTAGGGGTGAGGTCACTAACTCGAGAGCATCAAGAGGCCAGCCCCTGAGGATGAGTGCTGGGTGTGCAGGATGCTGGACCCCCCGCACCACCCTGTTAGTTCCTCAGGCGGGGCTGGGAGTGGGTGGTCAGGTTCGCCCGCCTCCTCCGTTCTGTGCTGTTCCCTCCCCTCCCCCTCCTGCCTTGTACTCACCTCTTCTCCCTCATTCTCCAGCTGCCTGAACTTCAGCCTCAGACTCTCTTCAAATTCCTCATCCATCCAGTAAAAGAGGACCTCTGCACCTTCTGTGGCCACCAAAACACACTTCATCTGCCAGGGAGAAGCAAGGTCAGGGTCACCTCCCAGCTCCTTCATCCACAAGCTCAGCCTGAGTAACGAAGAGGGTCGCAATCCCAGCAGATACCTACTGAGCCAGCACAACTACGGGGGCCTTCCTGGCATTATTTCGTCAGACCCTCACCACAGCCTGATGAGGTAGGCATCTTGAGTTATTCCCATTTTTGACAGCAGGACGTAGCACCGCTTGGCGTGGCAGAGCACTGGGATTTAAATCCAGCCTAAGGCTGGGGCTCTTGCTTCTGTGTTTTCCAGCCCCTCAGACCAGAACGTCAGACTTACCACGGGCCTACCTGCACCAAACGTAAGCAAGGACCCAGCTCTTGACCTGACATAGAACCGACTGTACAGGAGAGGAAGGCAGAATCATGGCTCATGGCAGACAGTCAGTGCCCGGTCTAGAATGCAGGGAGGCTAATGCACCTCCCTTCAGGCAATTCAGAAATACCCCGAGGCAAACACCCTTCCAGAAGACAAGCTTCAAAGACCTCGAGGGGTGGACTCAGCATTACATCATTTTACTAACAAGTTGTTTCTGCTCTAAGTAGAAACAGAGGCTGCCTAACCTTGTCCATTGTTCATTCTCACAGCTGCGTGGCTGCCGCTTCCTCAGCCTCATGCCCCATCACCTCTGGCTCTTCCAAAACGCCTTCCCCACCACCCACAAACGCACCCTCTGTGCTGCACGTTTTAATGCCTGATTAGACAAAATGTGTTTCATTATTCATCAACGAGGAAATCCTTACTCCAGAGCTTCCCATATCGTGCCTTTCATTCCTGGGGCGCAGCAAGACATGCATCCTCTCAACACTTGGGGCAGCCTGACCGCGCCTGGTGAGGCCAGGGCTCTCAGGCCAGCTGCCGGCAGCTGAGAAAACCCCAGGCAGGGGCCTAGCATCTTCTCCTGTGCCTCAGCGCGCCACATGGACGTGATCGCGCTATCCGCGCACTAAGATGGGACAGTGACTAGGGGACTCTGCTCTACCTGCCCCATGAGTGAATGTCCAATTTCCACAGGATCGTAGCATCCCAAGATCTGGGACTTCGTCACACTCTTCAGGACCCCCTGCGTGCCCTGTTTGGCACTTACTGAATTCCTCCCACATCTCCAGTCACTTTATCAACTCAACTCAGAGCACCTGGCTCCACCACAGTGCCAAGCAGTGCAGCTATTCCCATGGACCCGCTAAACGCAAGACAGAGACGGGTAGGGTAACTGAATATGAAGTAAAGGTTGCTGGTGGGTCTGGAAGAGGCTGTTCTGGGATGCCCAGGCGAGGGTGACAAAGCCAGGGGCTCAAGGGGCCAGTTGATGGGAAGGGAGTGTGTGTGCTGGGCAATGGTGGATTATACAATGTGCGGCCGGGAGCAGAGAGCCCCCTGTAGGCTGGGAAGGGAGTGGGGAGTGACACACTGGTCACAGATGGGTGAGGTTAAGGGGATGGGGGTCGGTTGTGCTGGGGTGGGGTAACAAGGGTCTGCTCCTTGGTGGAGGCCAGGACAGGAAGGGGCTGACTCAAGAGATGGAGCCTGGAGTCACAGGCCTTGATGATGCAGGGGAGGATGGAGGAGACAGGCTAAGGTGACATCAGGAGGAAGAACTGAAGCAGGGGGTGGGGAGGGCCGAGTTCTGCAGAACCAGGGGAAGCTCAGTCCACTGCCTGCCTCATGCTACGTACCTCCCACGGCCCCAAGCAGCCCTGGAGTGGGTGCCACCTGCCTCCACCTGCCCCGGGGCGGCCAGGATCATCTACCTTGGCGAGGAGCACAGCAGAGCCTCAACAGCCAGGGATGCAGAAAGGGCTGCAGTAGACAGACCCGGTGACCGGCTCATGGAGAGCAGTAGCACAGCGTCTCGGGTCCTGTAAATGCTTAAAACAGAGAGGTCATGAGGGCAAGCAGAGCCTTTTATCTGACTGCTGCCCATTTGTGGAAGGACAGGCTGGTGGAGGTCTCTCTCTAGCCCTTCGGCAGTGGGCTCAGGAGGTGCCGGTGCCCTGTCTCCCGCCCACCCCACCCTCCCACAATGGGGAACACGAACTGGCCAGCACAGTCCTCCAGACACAGCAGATGCCCACAACATTAATTCCCACCTACTGTTTCCTTCCAGGCATCCTCATTTCACCGTGGGTCACTCAGAGCCATGGTGTGGTCTGCAAACCTGCCCTGAGCAGCCCCAAGGGGCTTGCCAGGAGTCACTAGACACAGAACAGGCCGTCCCAGGCCCACAGGGAAGCAGTTCCAGAAGGGAGGTGATAACCGGGGAGGATGAAGTAAACCAAAGCAAAAGGCACCAGAGCCTGGGTTCTAGTTTTGGCTCGGCCAAGGCACTTAACCCTCTCTGAGCCTCAAACTCCTGCTGTGAAACAGAAACCCCTGCTCTACTTCCCTACACGGTTATAGGGAAAAGACAGAATCACCAGGCAGGAATCCCCTGGTAAACTCCTACATGGACGGGGGCTTATTTACTATTCTTATTTCCCAGCTTCCCTTTGACAAATAACAGGGTGAACTAAACTGGCTCCAGAATCAGTCACATTTTGATAAAAGGCAGGGACAATATAAAGCTGTGACCGAATTAGGAAACCAAACATGTAAAGTAAATAAGAAGCAAGAAAGGGTTTTTAAGGGCTCAGCATCTTTTGCAACATAAGTGAGGCTTGCTACATCACCGGCATGACTGGCCTTAATGACATATTCCCAGAAAAATGGAACTGCTTTTCCGTGGACTTTAGGTTCTCCCTTTTTATTCCAAAGGCTGTTGGAAAGAGAACCTCATCGGTGTCATTTTGTCATTTCCCCGTTCTGCCCTCTATCCTGCCTTAAAGAGGCAACACAGGACACACTGAAGCGCCAGACGGCGCGGGGCCAACCTGGGGAAAACCCTTCGCCCCCATTTTCTCTACCTTCCCCAGCAAACCACCCCTAACGCCACCGTGCCTGGACCCGCTCTGCTCCGTCTGGGCCCCCCGCGCCTTGCCCCTGCGGGCTGGAGGGCCCAGGAGAGACGGCAGTCTTCCTGTCTGCCCCGCACTCCACACTTTATGCAGCACCCCCAAGCCCCCGCGAAGCTCACAGCTACCCTGGGAAGAAGGCCCGGCTTGGGGGTCCTGCCCCACTCCGTGGCTGCAGAAACTTAGCACAAACGGAGAAGCTGAAGGGCCACGGCCAGAAGGGCGGGGCCGGTGCGGCCAGGGTGGGGCCCGCTCCCACTTCCGGGACGGCGGCGCTGAGGGCCTCGGAGGAAGTCCCGCCGCCCGCGGAGGGGCCCGGAGGGCGGCGCTCAGGCCACGTACCGGCAAGCAGCCTTTGTCCGCCAGGCCGTCCGGGCCCACGGGCGCGCTTCCGGGTGCGGCCACGTGACCTCCCGCGCGACAGCCCCGCCTGGGGAGTGGCTGGAAGCGGGGGCGGGCTCTCGGGACTTCAAGCCTGTCCCTGCCCAGCGTCTCCTGTGCCCGCGGGCCAGTTCGTACCGCCTGGCGTTCCGGCTAGCCTGCCCGGACGCCTGCTGTGCCACAGCCACGTTCCTCTTGCGGTCGAGGAGCGCCGAAGCCTGCAGAGTTGGGGGGGCGTCGCCTGCAGCGGTCAGGGGCACTGGGCTTGCCCTTCGGTTTACTTGAGCTCAAAGGATACCCCGCCGTGTCATTAGGAACAGGTGTATTTTAGCCCCGTTTCACGCAGGACGAAAGCGAGGCCCAGAAGGAAGAAATAACTTGCAGAGGGGCGGAGTTAGGATCAGAACCTAAGTCTCCTGGCTCCCGCGAGCCCCTTCCCACCCTCTGGATTTAGCTGTCTTCCGTGACTGTTTCCCGTCGTCCTGGGGAGTTGACACACCTTGCAGAAGGGCCTGGTTGTCCCCAAAGTGCCAACCCTGAAACTTATAAAGGTTCTCAATCTATTTGGGGTTGGGGTGCACATTAGGGGCTTTGTTCAGAACCAGTGTTTTCAAGATTTTCTTAAGATTGTGTAATTAGAAGGACTGAAGTGTGGGGTTGCTGATGAAGATCATGGAAGGGAATCAGTCCCCTCCGAAGTCACCCCTCAGTGCCCTGGGGCTGCCTGGACGCTTTGGGTGCAGCCCAGCAGGGGATGAGTTGTGGGGACTGGCAGTCTGGCAGATTTGCATACACCCTGGGGAAAGGCAGGGGCCAGGAATTAATGCTCTCACCACCTGCAGACAAAGCGAGCCTCACTACCTTTCCCCCCTCCCCTTGCTCCCACCAACCCGCTCACCTTAGGACCCCAACCTTCCACGCACATACCCACCGCAGGCATCGCTCTCTGCAGTCCACTGTTGAGATCCCTATGGCTGCGCGCTCTTCATCCTGCTATTTTCACTCCCCTTGTTTCTCTCCTGTGTTAGATTCTTCATAAGCATGAATTTCAGTGGTTGAGTAAATTCCATCAAATGGATATGCTATTATTCACTCTAACTGCTAGTAGTTTCCATTTCCCACCAGCAATGCATGAGGGTACCAATTGTACCCATCTGCAACAACACTTGTTATTGTCTGTTTTTATTTAGCCATCCTAGGGGATGTGAAGTGATATCTCCTAATTTGATATTTGTTTTCCTAATGAGTAATGATGTTCAGCATCTGTTCATGTGCTTTTTGGCCATTTGTATATCTTCTTTCAAGAAATGTCTATTCACTTCCTTCGCCCATTTTAAAATTAATTGTTCTTTTATTATCAAGTTGTAAGAGTTCTTTATACATTCTGAATACAAGCCCCTTAGTAGATATATGATTTACAAAATAAAATTTTCCCCATTATGTGGTTTGGGTTTTTTGGTTTTGTTTTGTTTTCTTAATGGTATCACTTCTGGCACAAATGCTTTCAATTCCGATTTAATCCAGTATACCCATTTGTAATTCTCTCTAGGCTTTTGTGTTAACATAGGTTTTATTTCACTTAGGTGAATATTTAGGAGTAGGATGGCTAGGCTGTATGGTAAGTATCTGTATGGTATGGACTGTATGGTAAAATGCAGGCACCATTTTAAATCCCCTTGACAACGCTGAGAGTTTTCCCTGCTTTGTAGTCAGTCTTCTTAGCACTTGATATTGTCCTTTATAACTTTAGTTATTGTAGTAGATATGTTATAATATCCCATTGGGGTTTGAATTTCTACTTTCCTAATGACAAATGATGTTGCATTTCTTTTCATGTGTTTTTATGCCATATGTAAAGTGTTCAAATGATTTGCCCATTTTAAAAATGGGTTGTTTCTTATTATTACTTATATGATTTCTTTATATATTCGGATAGGAATTCTTTATCAGTTATCTGTTTTTCATTTTTTTGGCCAGTCTGTGGCTTTGTCTTTTCATTTTCTTTACAGTGACTTTTGTAGAACAGAAATCTTTGTGCTTTTTGTGCACTGCTTAAAACATATTTGCCTAAACCAGAGTCACAAAGATCCCCTCTTATTTTTTCCAGAAGTTTCACAGTTTATTTTGCATTTAGATCTGTGACCCATTTCGAGTTGATTTTTGTGGAAAGTATGAGAGAAATGTTCAGGTTCATTTTTTTGCATATGGGTATCCAATTTTTCTAGCACCATTTGTTGAAAAAATATCCTCTCTCCATTAAATTACTTTGACACATTTGTCTCGAATAAATTGACTATAAATGTGTGTATCTATTTCTGGGTTCTCTATTCTGTTCAATAAATTTAGAAGGATTCAGGTCACACTAAGGATTTTACTGATTTTCTCAAAGAAACCACTTTTGGTTTCAGCAATTTTCATTGGTTTTTCTGTTTTTTATTTCACCAATTTCTGTGCTGTTTACTGTATCCTTTCTTCTATTAACTTTGGATTTAATTTGTTCTTTTTTTTAGTTTCTTAAGGTAGAAACTGACCCATTGATTTTAGACCTTTTGTCTTTTTTTTCTAACAAAGGAGTTTGCTGCTATAAATTTCCCCCAAGGTACTG